TATCAGATATATGATTTGCAAATATTTTGTCCCACTCAATAGGTTGCCTTTTCATTTTGTTGATGGTTTCCTTTGCTGTGCAGAAGCTTTTGAGTTTGAGGTAGTCCTATTTGTTTTTGCTTTTGTTGCTTTTGATTTTGGTGTCACATTCAGAAAACCACTGCCAAGGCCTATGTCAGGGAGGTTATTGCGTGTCTCCTTTTAGGAGTTTTATGTTTTCAGGTGTGGTTCAAGTCTTTCATCCATTTTTTGGTTAATTTTTATATATGATGTTAGATAGTGGTCCCCATTTCATTCTTTCACAGGTGGCTGCCCAGTTTTCCCAATACCATCTACTGATGAGCCTGTCCTTTCATCATTATATATTCTTGGCTCCTCAGTCATAAATTAATTAACCACACATGCATGAGTCCATTTCTGGGCTATTTTGTTCCTTGGATCTATGGGTCAGTTTTTAACGCAAATACCACACTCTTTTAATTAACATAGCTTCGTAATACAGTTTGAGATCAGAGAGGATGATGTCTCCAGGTTTGTTCCTCTTTCTCAAGAATGCTTTGGTTATTTGGGGTCTTTTGTGGTTCCGTACAAATTTTAGTATTCTTTGTTCTCTTTCAGTGGGAAATGCCATTTGAATTTTTAAGGGGTTTTATTAAATCTGTATATTGCTTTGAGTAGTTCAGATACTTTAGCTATATATATTTTTTAATGTGTATTTTTGAGAGAGGGAGAGAGAGAGAGAGAGAGAGAGAGAGAGAGAGAGAGCGCACGAGTGGGGAAGGGGCAGAGAGAGAGGGAGACAGAGGATCTGAAGCAAGCTCTGCACTGACAGCAGGGAGCCTGATATGGGGCTCAAACCCACGAACCATGAGATCACGACCTGAGCTGAACCCCACACTTTAACAATATTAATGTTTTCAACCCACAAGCACAGAATATCTTTCCATTTGTCTTCACGTTCATTAATGTTTTGTAGTTTTCAACACACAAATCTTTCACCTCCTTGTTTAAATTTAGTATTTTATTCTTTTTGATGCAGTTGTAAATAGAATTGTTTCCTTGGTTTCTCTTTCTGACAGTGTTATTAGTGTATAGAAAGGCAACCAACTTTTCTGTATTGATTTTGTATTTTGCAACTTTATTGAATTATAAATTCTAACAGTTTTTTGATGGAGTCCAGGATTTTACATATAAAATGTCATGTCATTTGCTTATGACAGATTATGAGTTTTACTTCTTCTTTTCCAATTTGGATGCCTTTTATTTCCTTTTCTTGCCTAATTATTGCACCTAGGGCTTCCAATACTATGTTGAATAAAAGTGCTAAGACTGGGTATTCTGGTCTTGTTCCTGATCTCACAGGAAAAACTTTCAGCTTTTCACTACTGGGTATGGTTTAGGGGTGGGCTTGTCATATATGGCCTTTACTATATTGAGGTACATTCCTTCTATACCCATTTTGTTTTTAACACAAATGGATGTTGAATTTGCTTTTAAAATTATGTATTAAGGGGCACCTGAGTGGCTCAGTTGGTTAAACATCTGACTTCAGCTCAGGTCATGACCTTGGGTTCTGTGAGTTCAAGCCCCATTGTCAGGCTCTGTGCTGACAGCTCAGAGGCTGGAGCCTGCTCTGGATTCTGTGTGTGTCTCTCTCTCAGCCCCTCCCCGACTTGCACTCTCTCTCTCAAAAAAATATTAACATTTAAAAAAAATTATGTATTAAACTGGGGCACCTCAGTGGCTCAGTCAGTTAAGCGTCTGACTCTTGATTTCAGCTCAGGTCATGATCCTGTGGTTTCGTGAGTTTGAGCCTTGCATCAGCGCTGAGCACTAAGTGCTAACCGTATAGAGCCTGCTTGGGATTCTCCCTCTCCCCCTCTTTGTCCCTCCCCTGCTCGCACTCTCTCTCAAAAAAAAAAAAAAAATTATGTATTAAACTAATATTAAAATACATTTGTCCTCCCCAAGTAAATACCAATGGACCTTGTTAAACGTAGTTATGAAAGAAACTCACCAAGAAAGGGAGAATTATGAGGATGGGCTTGACTTTTTCAGGGAATTAACAGCAGAGTGCAGCAGAGCGCAGGCTGCAAAATTTTGCAGAGGGCAATGGACAGCCAAACTATAATTTAGACACCACTCTGTTATGCCTTGCTGAAAAAGAATCCTATATGGTTATGCTTTATGAAAAATGTGGCTAATTAGGAACCACTTCCTCATAAATGTTAATGTCAATGATTTTACATATGTAATTATTATTTCATTAGAACTGCTCTGAGAGTAATTGCTTTTCTAATTCAGAGGTTTATTAGTTTCCGTTTTTAACTGCTTACTACACATGTCAGGCTCTGTGCAAAGCATGCCTCCATTATTTGGGGCGGTAGATTTTATTATTCCCATTTTTTGAAGGCTAATGCAGCTGCGTGGTGAGGTACCATATCCGCAATAAAGCCAAGAGGCACACTCAGGTCAACCTCCAACATCTATTCCTCAACACTATTCTACCTCATGGTTTTGCCTATGTACTTATTTAGAAATTGAGGGATTTACATCATAACCATAATGGAATGCAAATTATCACATATTGGTAATAAAGTTAGATGTAATAAAACGATGCTTCTGGCATTTATTTTTGAAAATTGGCCAAACATGTCCATCTTCCAGTTAAGACTCTGGAAACTGGTTGTAATTATTTGTTTTCATTATAAAAAGGCTGTTGCCAAAGTGTACTTTGCAAACTGCAAAACCGTACGGTCTGAGCTGAGGCTTCAATTCTGACTCTACCATTTACTTATGTGCTGTGTGTCCCTTGACATTTTTTTCCTTTTTTTTTTTTTTTTTTTTTTTTTGGTTGTCTAAAAGAGGATTCATTTGTAATAACTGTACTAATGCCTTTGGCACTTGTGAACATTAAATGAGTTTAAGACATGTAAAACATTTGACACGTAAGCACTCAAAAAATGCTGGCTCATGTTGTCCAAATCCAAAAGCTTATCTAGCCTTTTCATTCTTTCTTTTAAATAGATTTTTTTTTTTAGAGTAGTCTAAGATTCACAGCAAAATTGAGACAAAGGTACAGACTTCCCGTATACCGCCTGCCCTACACATGCATAGTCTCCTCCCGTATTAACATCATCCACCAGCGCGGTACATTTGTTACAAATGATGAACCCAAAGTCCATAGTTCACATTAGGGTTCACAATAGGGTGTTTTACATTTTGTGGGGTATGATAAATGTAGAAGGACTTAGATCTACCATTATATCAAAGAGAATTGTTTCACTGCCTTAAATACCCTCTGCTCCATCTATTCCTCTCTCCAGCCCCAAACCTTGGCAACTGCTGATCTTTTGTACTGTCTCCAATTTTGCCCTTTCCAGAGTATCATCTAGTTTGAATCATACTGTACGTAACTTTTTTAGAATGACTTCTTTCACTTGGTTATATGCATTTAGGCTTCCTTCATGTCTTTTCATAGCTTGATAGTTCATTGCTTTTTAGCATTGGATAATATTCTGCTGTACAGATGTAGCACAATTTATCCCTTCACATACTAAAGTACATCCCGGTTTCTTCCAAGTTTTGGCAATTATGAATAAAATTGCTATAAATATCTGCATGCAGGTTTTACACAGACATAAGTTTTCAACTCGAGTAAATATCACGGAGCAATTTGTTGGATCATATAGTAAGAATGTTTAGTTCTGTAAGAAACTGCCAAACTGTCTCTCAAAGTGACTATAACCTTTTGCATTCCCACTAGCAATTAATGAGAGTTCCGTTTGTTGCACATCCTCACAAGAATTTGGTGTTGTCTGCGGATTTTTTTTTAGTCATTCTAATAGGTGTATAAAAGTATCTCGTTGTCGTCCCTTTGTGAAACCCAGCATTTATGGCCGAGAAATTATTTTACTGTAAAGAATAGCATGGTAATAGGTACCACTGGTGAAAACTAAGTACATTTGGCTTAAAATCTAAATAATAAGTTTCTAAACCCGTGTCAGTGTGGTTTTTTGTCCTCCTCCTCCATGTTTCTTTGATGAATTATTCTTTTCACAAAGTCTTTCAACTATACTTTGTAGTCAAAGGAAACCACAACCTTGTGGCAAAATCAAAACATGCTAAGATAATGGAGGGGGAGAAGTTACTAAGTATTACTAATCTCATTAATTCCTTAGGACCAATTTAGTAGTACATATTCACGTTCTGCAGAGCCTTTGTTTGACCTTTACGACTGATGCTGGCTACATTCCCCTTGTGTCAATGTAGTGTGAGTCTACACAAAGCTGTTGGAATCAAGAACATCAGTCAAGTCTAACTTTTAATCTCCCTTCATGCCAATACAGAGAAAAGACTACAACGTATTTAGTTTTATAAACAAGTAAATGAGTTCGGAATCATACAGAGTTGTAACAGTTTCACACCACTACACCAAAAGATTTTCAACGCCTTAAAACTCTACAAACAAAATCTCTGCCAGGGTCTCATAGAGCTTCAAAAAGGCTGGTCTAGGGGCTCGGTCCGAGTATAGGTCCTTCCTAAAAGCTTCCCACTTACTCAAGAGCAGCTGGCTTAGAAAACCTACGCTTCAAGACGGACTGTGCATTATAGTAGCACCTTCCTTCGCTCACAAAGGATACATTTGACCAGACCATCACGCGCCCAAAGAGGGAACACCTCACACCGAGCGCCTAGGGCAACGCAAACTAAGTGTGAAGGGCCACACAGAATTTCCAACTTTCTTTTGCATCTAGACACGGCATTCACTCCGTTCCACACCCGGCTGTCTCCGCTCTGAGCTCTGCGAATTTATGAAACTCGGCCAGCGGGGCGCCACTGCCACCAGAGCCAGAAAGACCACAGTTACGCCCAAGAAAGATGGGCCTTCTTTACAGCATCAGCAGCAGAACTGTCAGTACCGAGGTCTCCCAGTAGGAAAAGAGAAGCTGCGGACCGCAAACGAACGTTACCCAGAACGGTACCGAAGCTCCAATTACCCGAGACCTTTTTTCGCGCTCCGACTTGGTCGGAAGTGACGCGAGCAGCCAACAGACACAGCAGTCCCGAGGGAGCGGAGCGCGGGAGGGGGAGCGTGCGGGGGCTGGGGGCGGGGCGCGGCCGTAGCTCCGTTTCCGGTGGCTCGTCGCGCTCGCTCACTCCAGCTGCAGCCACTCTTGCCCGTGGCTGCTTCCTCCATCCTGGTATTTTTTGGAGCCTCCATCCTGGTTCTTCCAAAGTGCCCGGACCCAAAACAGGAAGTAAGTGCGATGGAACCTTCAGGTCCCAACCGCCGCCAGGGCCGCTCCGCCCAGTGGAGCCTGTCCGGCCCCCTTGCTGCCATCCTGTTCCCGCCGGCTGGCGCAGGCTCTGGGCGCCCGGGCACCGCGGGCGGGGTCGGAGCTGGGCCTTCGTGACGCTGAAGCTGCCGTTCCCGCACGCTCAGGCCAGGGCCTCCCTCTCGGGGCCCGGCCCGCGGCAGTGGCTCGGGCTACTGAGTGGGGTAGCGAGCGGCCGCCGAGGCGCAGCAGCGATCCGGCGGGGGCGGAAAATGGCGGCGGCTTCGGAGGAGCTAAATGGCGCCGGGACCCCTGGGGGTGGGGTGGGCCGAGCCGAGAGCTTCGGTAGAGAATTGGGCCCGAGAATGCAGAGAGTAAGGGAGCCTTAGTTGCTTTCTCTTGGTGTTCCTTTTTTGTTTATTTCCTTTTCAGGTTTATGTAGTCCATTGAAGGAGAGGTGGGCTTGAGAGAGTTGGGCGGGTCTTGTCCCCCCTCCCCCTTTTTTTTCTTTTACCTTGTTTGCGTCTTAGACTCTTCCATCTTTTGGGATTCATTCTAGCTCTGCTATTCAAGGCCCGTTCCGAGGGAATCGGGTTGCTTGGCCATAATGTCAGGCTCTTTTAAGAAGGAGGGGCAGGGACTAACTGCGAGTGAGAGTGCCCTAGTCGAGCCGAGAACAGTAAAATGTGTCTGCAAAGTAGTAATCGTCATATGTTGAGTTCTGAATGAGTTTTTAAATTTTTTAATCTTCTTGTCCTTAAAAATATACTTTGTTTTGACCCATTCTCCGGCATAGATAGGACAGTAGAGGTGGCCAAGTGCCGTTGTATGCAGTTGAATGATACAGCATGTATTTTTATAATAAAAATATTCGGTGAAGTTAAGGGGAGGGTTATAATTACATGAAATATAAGTCAGGACTTATCTCTACTTTGCATGATTGAATTTGGAAATTCAAATGCAGTGTGTGGTTGCTTTTCTCATAACTTGATTGATCGTCTGTGTTCCTCCTGACAGGCGAGGCAGCTTGTTGGGACATCCGATAAAATGCGTATTTTGTAGGGTGACTTTCGAATATGCAATGTTGTCAGCATAGAATATACCGTTTCTAAATTTTTGATCTTGTACTAATTATACTTTTTAATTCGGGAAAGACGATTAACCATTTATAGCGTTTAAGCTACAGTCTAAGAAAATATTCTTCCATTGTGTTGAAAGTTTTACAAACGGAAAATCTTTTTTTCTTTTTCAAAGGTTTTCATATTTTCCCATTAGGATTCTTTCTGTGAGCTGGCTTTAAATTTGTTCCCAGCTTTTTAGTATCACTGTTTTCTGGTTAGTAATTTGAGTAATTACCACCACTGTAACATTTAAAGACTCTGGTGATAATATGCCGAAAACGTAGCGTTTTACTAAGGTGTAGTGATAAGAAATGATTTATTAGGCTCAGATACAGAAATTTAGTTGTTTTAAGAAAAAATTAAAATTAAATCCCTCAGCCTTAGGAAAAAATTGCCAGGGTGTAAAATTTGATGTGAGAGTTGTTTCATTCACCAGGGACAAAAAAACAGCTTGAATTTGTCAGGGGGAAAAATTGTATACAGTTACGAAGAAAAATACATTTCATGTTTTGTGATAATTTTATCTCATTATTTTTACTTCCATATACTTATGTGCCACCAAAAAGCTAATTTTTTTTTTTTTTTTTTTTTTTTACCACTTTAGTTGATAGGCTCACACCAAAATATGCTTTTGGGGACTGATCTAGAATCTGCATTTTCTGCGTGAATCTCTTTAATTGATTGCAGTTGAGCTAGATGGTGGAGCCAAAATGCTATTGCCCTGTCTTCATCTACAGTTAATCAGTAAGTACTGGGCATTGCATTCTTGCTTAGAACTTTAAGTTCATACTTTGAGCAGTTAGATGAATAAATATATACTCTATATTTCAGAATGTTGAGATTTTAAAAGTATTTTGAGAGGAAGCAACCACAAGAACATTTTGGAATTAGGATTCGATCTTTGAAAGCAGAGTGTGGCTGGAAAAGGATTACTGATAGAATTATATCAAAAGAAGACATATCCCCTTGAGTCTTTTTTAAGTTCTCTTCTCTTTACTGGCTTTTTCTTTTTCTTTAAAGATGGGGCAAGTTTATCTCCTTTCACCCTGAGGCAGTGAGAGAGAGAGAAGCCTATTTGTAAGGTTAGAAATGGCTAGTTACTGTTGAAATAAAAACAACAAAACTAGTCCTTCCCTTCCCCCCACATAATGCCTTTCTTTTTATTCACTTCACTTATCTCTCCAACATCTACAGACCCTATAGTTTTTATTTAACGTTGTAATAAATTTGTATGTCCTGACAGTAACCTCTCATTATTATAAGCAGTTGCTTTTGTCATGCTCCATTAAGTACATTGGCTTAAATTAACACCTGTGAAGATGAATGCACTAATGTGAAACACGAGCATCCCTAGGGATTTACAACCTGGCACATAGATGTTAAAAATTTAGTGGGGCAGGGAAGTTTTTTGAAGTATTGAGGTCCTAGATCACACTGAACACATACTTTCATTTGTTGCAGGACGTCAAAAGTTTCGAATAGCAATGAAGTTTAGGAAGAGTTCTAATGTCTTAGAGGCTGCTTATTTAACAGGAGATGGTAATCTGTCTTCTTGGAATGGAGTTTTCTTTTTAATAGTCAATTTTCTCTTACTGCCCTAATCGTCAGCACTTTTTTCCCCCATATAAAAGAATTGTTTTTGAATTGCTGTACCTTTAAATGCTTTGTAATTTCAGTTCCAAAGCTTTTTCTGTCCTCAAAGGATATGAAGTGACCTGAGAAAATGATAAACTGTGCCAAGTATGCTAAATGTACAGATATATTAAATGTTTGTGTGTGCTTTCGTATCATCGCCCCCTCTTTTTTCATTTTGTGAAGAAAATCCTTGTAATAGAAATCACAAATAGGTTTTGGTTTTGTTTTGATTCCATAAAGATAAATGATAAATAAAAGAAGGAACCTGTTTAACATGTCTGCTGCTTCAAGTTTTTGGGAAGATACTCCATTCCATGACTGAATCCCAGAAGCTGTCAGGAAAAGGCACACTGGAGAGCCCTTTATGAACAGTTTTTAATTTTATTTATTTACACGTTCCTTTTTTTTAGCTGTCATTTTGGCTGTGTACACTGTTGTCAGGCCATTCTTCCAGCAGTGGGTTGTGAACACTGATCTTTATTTACCATCATTTAAAGAGCTTCTAATGGTACCTTGCATGAAGTGCTCAGTTTTGAATGAATAAAATTTTTAAATGTAGCCAAATACAAATTATAAGCTCTTAAATCATGCACTGGGTAAAAAATATTCTTTCTTTTTAATAAGCAACATTGTTGCCAGACCAGGTATGAAATGCTACACCTTGAAATGAACCATGTTGCCAAGAAATCTCTTAGACATTGTTTTCAATTGTCCGTAGTTAAAATCAAAGCGTAAGTGACTAAAGCCTATTAAAATAAACTCTACAAACAACTATTGATATGGCATACAGCTATATTTTGCCACTAAAACTCAGCTATTAGTGATCATTTGTTACCTTAGTCTAGTATGCTTTATGTTCATTTGTAGCTTTGCTTCTCAGACTTTTCCACAAAGTGTACAGAAAAGCAAATCCCCATGGGCCTGGAACAACAATCCGAAGCATTCAACCTCAAGTCCCTATTCCTATCTTGAATAAAATCAATATTCTGCAGATTTCTATTCTGCCAGCCCGCTGTGTACACATGTTGAGGATACAAGTATTTGTTAATTATTCTCTTCCACTAAGACTTTCTAATTAGCAAGGAGGTTTATTCTTTCAGATTATTTTCAAACACATCTTTATTAAATATTACTAAGCAAATCCACTTATAAGCGTGTCCTAAGGCATTAGTTATATGCAATGATCGGTATGTTGGTGGTCAGTATGAGGTCTTTATAATAGTATGACCTCAAAGAAAAATGTTCATTTATAGGATCATGGTTAGGTAAACTTAGATACTAAGTACCCATTAAAAATGCTGTGGAAGAGTAAGTAGACCTAGTGAAAAATACTACGAAAAAAAATAAGTGCAAAAAAGTTCTAAAAGATGTGACAGTATGTTTGGAAGAACATCACAAAAACGTTACAGAGGAGGGGTTCCTGGGTGGCTCATTCAGTTAAGCGTCGACTCTTGGTTGATCTTGGCTCTGGTCATGATGTTGCAGTTCGTGGGATCAAGCCCTGCATCAAGTTCAGCACTATCAGTGCAAATTGGGATTCCCTCCCTCTCTGCTGCCACCCCCTGCCCCTTTGTCTCTCAAAATAAACTTAAAAATATATATATTTAAAAAAAATAACTGCAGGCTCAATCCCATACTGCTGCAGTAAAGGTTGCAATAAAACAAGTCAAATGAGTTTTGGTTTCCCAGTGCATGTAAAAGTTCTGTTTATACTTTACGGTAGTTCATTTAAAAACGTGAATAGCATGTCAAAAAAATCAATGTGTATACACATGCATTGTATGTATATTCAATGTGCCTATATTAAAAAATATCACCTGAGCTTTCAGCTAGTCTTAATCACTGATCACAGATGGCCACAGCCAGTATACAGTTCTTGGGAGCTTATACAATGGGAGCTTAGGGGTGATGCCCCCCTGGGCAGTCAGAAATCCATGTATAACTTTTGACTCCCCCCCAAACTACTAATAACCTACTCTTGCCGAGAAGACTTAATAACAACAGTCAATTAACACATTTTGTATGTTAAATGTATCATATATTGTATTCTTACAGTAGAGGAAAAACGTGGCTAAGAAAATACATTTACAGTACTGTATTGTAAAAAAATCCACATATAAATGGACACATTCAGTTCAAATATGTATTGTTCAAAGGTCAACTGTAATAATGAAAAAGTTGGAAATAGTTTGAGAATTACCAAAATGTGACACAGACCTGAGTGAGCTGTTGGAAGTATAGTGTGGATAGGCTTGCTTAATGCAAGATTGCTATAAACCTTCAGTTTATAAAATAACTCCCTTTCTGTGAAGCGTAATAAAATGAGTTATACCTGTATGTAGATTCAGTTGATGAAAACACCAGTCTAAGATAATCCATTGAATAAGAACTTTCCATCAATACCAGAATGAAGTAGGACGAAGGATTCATTTCTTTGAATTCTGTATTAAACACTAGATCCAGAGTTGTTCTTTTGTTCTACGTTAAATAGGGTTCTCACTCATTGGGAGCTTTAGATGAAAAGAAATATATTTATCATTTAAATGCGAATATAAATGTTCCCTTATAAGCGTTCTGTACCACGATCTCTCTGGGCGATCTTCTGTTTAAAAAGTACTTGCATGCCACCAACTTAAGTTTGTCTTGATAGGTCTAATCCTGTTTATTGAATTCCAGCTTCCACCTATCAACTTAATATCTTCATTTGAATGTCTTATAACTTTATTCATACAAGTAGTAATGCAAATACGTAATGAAATATATCTAAGTGCCCCCAAACTCAGCTGTTAAAGCCAGAAGCCTAGGAAACAGCTTGAGATAGTTCACTTTCTCTTAATCTCCATCATCTCATTCAGCAGATCCTGTCAACACTACCTCCAAAATATATCCTTTTTTCAGCCTCCTTCCTTTGACTGCTTTCATCTCTTCTGACTTACCTATCCATTCTCCATACTGCAGTCTAAGTGATCTTTTAAAAATGTAAATTATATTCCTCAACTGAAAATCGTCCAAGGATTTGTACGGCCTTGTGAGATCTGCCCCAGTCTTTATCTCCAACCTTCAATTCAACTGCTCTCCCTCTTTATGGAAAGCCTCTGCGATACCAGCTGTGGGGTGGTGGTTTTTTTGTTTTTTTTTTTTTTTTTTTCCTGCAACAGGCCAGAGCAGTCCCACTTTAGGGACTTTGCCATTGCTAATCCTTTGGCTACCTTGCAGTTGTGTGCTGTAGTGATGTCTCCTCATCTTGCTGCTGAGGCAGTGGAAAGTAGCCTTTAAGGTACTGTTCAGTGTTGGTAGTATGATACCATTTCTGTAAAAAGAGGATGTGTAGGAAGAATAGGAAGGGCTGTATTGACTTCTCAATGCATAAGATAAGTGTAAGGAAGCCTGAGAAATTGATGAGTTCACCTATACAGGGAGGGGGGCTGGATGACCGGGGAACTGGAACGGGAAGTAGACTAAACTGTATAACCCTCTTTATATTTTGAATTTTGAATCATGTAAATGTGTTACCTAATAAAAATAATTGAAGGTAAAACCAGGTCAGTTTCTTAAATGTTAATAATATTTAAGATATTTAAGTTAGACCTTGTAGCTCTAACTATGGTGGGAAATGGGAGAGACCCCTGGAAAATGAGTCGAGAGCAAGATGGTAAAAAAATAAAAGTGACTACCATATCCCCAGTGCCTAGAGAGCGCCTAACATGTAGATAGTAGACATGTGATAAATATTTGATGATTGACCACATATGCTTGTTAATTTGCACAGCACCTTAGAACCATTTACTAGTCTCAAACATGAGTTGCTGAACTTTAAAAACCGAACCCAGATTTCTTATTTAAAGCTGGTACACCGCACACTGCACGGAATCACCTGTAATCAATACAGCTTGTCAAGAATGAAATACTGATTGCATCTAGCTAGCTGTTTCAGACTCCCTTTTTTCTTACACTGTTATCACACTTTATCTCCATATTGCCTCAAATCTGCCTTTATTTTTTCTTAGAGTTTTGGATTCGTTTGAGTCCTGAGATGACATTGATTAAAATGCTAAACCTGTGACTATTTTGCACCTATCAAATGAAGTCTTGTGCTGTTTCTTGCTTTGTGCTTTCTTTTTAACAAAAGAACGGTTGCCAGGAATAGAGATTATACTTCCTTGGTTTGGATATAAATTTGAACAACATTTCTGGAAAACTGATCAGGCAGGCCAGGTCAGAGGACTCAGAAGGGGTCCCACAGGACCACCCAAAAGGGTTGTAAGCTTCACGCAGGATGGAGATCAGGCTCAAGCCAGCAAGAAGTGAGGACAGAGTTTAATGAAGATATTGGAGACAGCAGATACAGAGCATCTGGGAGACTCAGAAAGGAAAAGGAGCACGAGTCTCATCTTTGCTTGGGGGAGTCTGGAGTTTTTATTAAGGATAGTGGCCTGGGGCGCCTGGGTGGCGCAGTCGGTTCAGCGTCCGACTTCAGCCAGGTCACGATCTCGCGGTCCGTGAGTTCGAGCCCCGCGTCAGGCTCTGGGCTGATGGCTCGGAGCCTGGAGCCTGTTTCCGATTCTGTGTCTCCCTCTCTCTATGCCCCTCCCCCAATCATGCTCTGTCTCTCTCTGTCCCAAAAATAAATAAACGTTGAAAAAAAAATTAAAAAAAAAAAAAAGGAAAAAAAAGGATAGTGGCCTGGTGTACATGTCCTCTCAGGCTTCTAGTAACTGATCAAGGACGAGTGCTCAGGTGTCCTCCATAAGTCACTTATCCTCTGGAGCCAGGGTCTTTTGTCAAGGTGTTTGGAGTCAGTGGTCTTGGAGAACTTTCATGAGGACCTCACCTGGCCACTTCAAAGTTGTTATCAGTTGTAGTGGAAGACGTCAAAGAAATAATTAACTCCTTGACCCTTACAAGGGGGACATATATCAAGGCATGTGTAAGGTGGGAGTGCAGGTATTGGCAAAAATAGAAGCAGGAAAATGAATAGAAACCAGCTCTTTTTCATAGGTCCTTTACAGTTTCCCTGTCTCAGTGTGACAAGAGTTCTAAATTTGGGGGCACCTGCACGGTTCACTCAGTTAAGCATCCGACTTGATTTTGGCTTAGGTCGTGAACTCACAGTTCAAGCCCCACATTGGGTTCCACTCTGTCAGTACAGATTCTCTCTCCCTCTCTGTCTGCCCCTCCCCTTGCTCATGCTCTGTCTCTCTCCCAAAATACATAAGTAAAATTTTAAAAATTTAGAAAGTTCTAAATTTTGTTATTTTCTTTCATGTAATAATTTCCATTAATGTTCAAGGAAATAGAGTATATAAATGTTCCAGTATGTTTTAAGGAAATGAAAAATTAGGAAAAACAAATGTCCATCGATAGGGTCATTGTTAAATAATGTCATTTTTTTAATATGGTGTAAATTCTAAGTGATACAGAAAACTTCAGTTAGGTACCTAGCTTCAGTTAGGTTTCATCATACTTTTTAATGTGAATTAATTCTTTTTTTTTTTTAATTTTTTTTTTAACGTTTATTTATTTTTTTGGGACAGAGAGAGACAGAGCATGAACGGGGGAGGGGCAGAGAGAGAGGGAGACACAGAATCAGAAACAGGGTCCAGGCTCTGAGCCATCAGGCCAGAGCCCGACGCGGGGCTCAAACTCACGGACCGCGAGATCGTGACCTGGCTGAAGTCGGACGCTTAACCGACTGCGCCACCCAGGCGCCCCTAATGTGAATTAATTCTTAAAAAGCAAAATATAAGTTGCTTGTACACTGTAGCGTATACACGTTTACAAACATATACAAAGAGAGTGAACTCTGCTTTTGGTAAGTTTATGGATTTTTTTTTAGAATTGAATTTCTCTATCTTCAGTATCACCACCTTTTAAAGAAAATTTAATGGATTCAGAAATAAGAAAAACATGAAATTTAATAGTTGACTGGAGTTGACCCTAGTAGGATCTCTACCTTTTCACTGCAGACTTATTTATGAGTAGCAATTCTCCAAATATAACCATCTTGGAGATGAGTTCTAATTAGAACATTGCTAAAATGAAATGTTAATCATTAATTTTTGCTGAATCATTCCCTTGTATCTCGAATCCTGCTGTACTTTTTGATTCTTTGGTTGAAGCTTTGGGATGATAATGAGGAGTTTATTGAAACAAACCTTTAAAAATCATTTCAGATTTTTAAGTTTCACATTGCATTCAAGAGCTTGCTTGTAATTTACCTTTCTGGCTCAACTGTTGAGGGTTTCTTTTTTCCACAGATCTGTAGGCAGGTTTGATCACAGATAGGAAGGATACTGTTTGTAATGCTTTAGGATGAACTACGGTATTATGTATAAAGAAGTGTTAGTAAATTGTTACAAAGAAAAAATACAGTTACTGGTAACATTTGTGGCACTCTACATCTTGGGTCATGTTGCACATACCTTGGTCTACAGTTCATTGAACTAGTACCATAGTTTAGCCTATTTTTTCTGAGACTGTTTGCCTGTTGAGGTTGAGAAACTGCCTCTAAATGAACTTAATAGGTACAGATCTCATCATTTCTGCCTTTCACTGGGGAATACTTTTAGAGGCTGCGTTCTAAAAGGTCTGTTTAGAAAAGAATTCTGGGGGCGCCTGGGTGGCTCAGTTGGTTAAGCACCCGACGTGGGCTCAGGTCATGATCTCACGGTTTGTGAGTTCGAGCCCTGCATCGGGCTCTGTGCAGACAGCTCAGAGCCTGGAGCGTGCTTCAGATTCTGTGTCTCCCCTCTCTCTGCCCCTCCCATGCTCATGCTCTGTCTCTCTCTCTGTATCTCAATAATAAATAAACGTTTAAAAAAATTAAAAAAAAAAAGAATTCTGGTTTTTGTCATTCTTTTTCTAGTTAAGACATCACAGAGGATTGAGGCTAGAGTGTCCTGGGCATACGGCTAGCACACAGTTGTTTGTTCTTATTAAGCCTTATTGTGTAATGCTGTTACTTTTTCAGAGTGTTGCAGAGGTAGGAATATGGGCGAGAAGCAATCTGGATAACATGAAAGTGATGCTGGTGTCTAAGGGAAGGCGACTTGATTCTGTGGGAAGGGCTATACCTGATCCATCTATTTTCTAGGTAAGCCTGCCTTTATTCCAAGGATGCCACCTTGTGTTTTGCAAGTTTTGGTATAACTAGATTGTGATTTCTATTTATCTTGAATTTGGGACCTGTCGTCTTTTATCATTGCAAAATGATGTCCTTTTAAGGCAGTGGTTTGTATAGTAAAACCTGAACGAATCACTGGGTCTTCACCCTGTAAATATCAATAGATCTTAAGTTCTTCTGGCAAGCAAAAATGCACTTAAATAAATGGTAAATATATGAGCAGACTAATATGTTGTGTATAGGAACCAAATAAATACTGAGTGAGTAGTACACATTAAGCCTTATGGCTTCTTGTTTAGTTGGTAAAAAGTATGTGGACAAGAACAAAATTGAGTATTAAGGGAAAAACTTCATTGAACATTATAAAGTTAACTGGAATACTTCAGCCAGGCCCTTGATTTTAATTCAATACATTTCCTTCTGTTAGCCATGAGGTATTATACTGTGAGACTCTGATCATTCAGTCTGTCTGAACAAGAGGAAAATGATATATGTGTAAAATAGCAGGTGAAGGCCCTCTAAACAAAATCAGTTCTCTATTTCAAAAGAAGGCCTTGCACTATATCCATTTAAAAAGCAATTTGGTCAATGATGAATGTACGTACTTGTTTTGATATTATGAGGGGGGGGGAATGATGAGAATAATTTTTTAGTGCTCTTAGTTTCAGCTAATAATAGAGCTTAAATACTTGTAAAAAGTGTTTTGGAGAAGTAATTCTTAGATTTATCGATGCTTTCTAAGATAAAAGGTTTAATCCATCTTCTGAAAAAATCAGAAGTTAAACACCTATTTGAATGTATCAAAGTTGCCAGTAAATAAAAAGTGGTGAGAGTTTTACTGATAAGACCTCATATTTTATTGATGAAACAACTTGGAACAGAGTCTTTTTCATTGGATGTGGTAAAAACAAGTCTTTTTAAAAACTAAATGCTATGGGGGCTCAGTCAGTTAGTGTCTGACTCTTGATTTTGGCTCAGGTCATGATCTCACGGTTTGTGAGAGCCAGCCCCACGTGGGGCTCTGCGCTGACAGCCTGGAGCCTGCTTGGGATTCTCTATCTTCCCCCCACCTCAAAATAAATAAACATTAAAAAAATGCTGTAGGTTTTTATTTAGAGAAGCAGATTCTTGCAGATTATTACATTTTATTCTGAATCATGGATATAACCTTTTGAAAAATTTCAAGTCTGAGCTGCCATTGGAATTTCACATAAAGAGCACTATATAGCACGTATAAATTGTGAGGGGTTTTTTATGGGGAGGTGGGGGAAGTTGGGGGCTACTCTGTGTTCATATTTGGGAGTAATTTTTTAAATCTGAAACCTATTATGTAGATTTGAGTATGAGCACAGTTGAAGAGGATTCTGACACAGTAACAGTAGAAACTGTGAACTCTGTGACATTGACTCAGGACACAGACGGGAACCTCATTCTTCATTGCCCTCAGAATGGTAGGAAAACTTGCTGACATGTAATTATGGATCTTTCTGGATTTCTGGATTTCACATTCCCTTTGATCGTTATTACCCTGATTGACAGTTTGGGCTAGGATAATAGAAATGGGAGTTCTCTTTTTGGCTTATGAATTAATCTTAATTTATATTTTTATGTTTTTAAAATATACCTTTATATTTTTTAAATTTGCCATAAATTTGAACTTTTTTGACTTTCGTAGCTACTTTATAAGTAAGTAGAATGCATTGGGCCTCCAAAGATGATGAATTAACTGTAATTAACACTTTCTCTTTGATATCATTTGGTGCCGGCAATGTATATAGCACGTTGAAAAATGTAAAAGCAATCCTGTCAATTTTTTCTAGAATCTGTAGAAGAGGATTTTACGTGACTATTTGAATAAGATTTAATATCATTATCTGTAATCAGTTAAGATTCAAGAGGCTGAGGCTTGTGATTTTGTTGTCACTTCTCTACCTATTCCGTATTTATATTCATTTTGCTTTAAGTTTATCTTTGTTCAACCTAGGTTTTATCTTCTCTTCTCATTCAATACTTAATTTCTGGTAATTTTATTCAAACTTGTGATTTTAAGTACCACCTACCTATTAAAATGGTTCAAATTTCTGCCTTTATTCTGAATTCTTTGTGTTTCTCATAGACACCTTAAATATCACATGTTCCAAACTGAAATCTTTCACAAAATTCCGAGACCTGGTTCTCTCTTTCTTTCTCAATTTCATTACTTAGTATCCCAGATCATAAATGTGGTAGGAATAAACCCTTCTTTCATCTCCTACATTCATTCTATCATGAAGACTTGTTGATAGTATTTTGTTTCTTGAGTCCATTGCTTCCTTGGTCTCAAGTTCCCCTTTCTTAGTTTAGAGTCTCATTTCTCACCTGGGAGGCCCCAGTAGCCTTTTAACAAGTCTCCCTGCTAATTCATCTTTCATATTGCCATTGACCTTGGTCATGATGCTCAGTATTGGAGGAAGGTTGTTTTTTTTTTTTTTTAAGTTTCACATGGTTTTTAGAACACAGTGATGGCCTCCTACCATGTCACTTTTTCTGCTAGCCTCCCTTCCTGCCACATTTCATATACTTATGTCCTAGTAATTCATAGCTGTCATCATTTTCCTAACACACCTTAAGCTTTTCATACTGTACTGTCACCACAAATAATTATTCCTAGTGCCAGTAATACTCATTTTCCCCTGGTTTCTGTTCATTCAAGTTCTTTCCAGTTCAACACACTTCCTCTGGGAAACCTTCACCTGTAGTCTAAATTAAGTGCCTCTCCCCTCTGCCCATGAAACCTTCTTCATTCCCCTTGCATAGCTCTTAGAACACAATTTTGAAATTGTCGGTTTAGTCATCTCCTCTATTACCCTGTGAGTGCCTCGACAGTCAAGGGTGTCTGTCATTGTTCTGTTCGCAGCACTTAGCACATAGTAGGCATTCAGTAAATAACTGAGTGAATTGAATAACCAGCCCTGTCTTTGCATGTGAAATATTTGGAAAGACAGATAGTTAGTAGTACAAAAGTGTGATGTTTAAAAAGTAGCACCTCTCTTCATAGTTCTTGTCATAAGAATAGGAGCTGAGGCCCTGCACTGGGGATAGAGACGGCAGTGTCGTTGGGGGTCCTACTTGCACAACTGGGTTAACTGAGCAAATAGATAAGATTGTTTCACACTTGTTGAAGATGTGGGTTTTTCTTCATTGGTTTGAAGATTTTTGAGATTTTTGTTTTATTTTGTTTCATTAGAAGCTGATGAAATAGACTCAGAAGATAGTACTGAACCTCCACATAAAAGGCTTTGTCTGTCTTCTGAGGATGATCAGAGTATTGATGATTCTACTCCTTGCATATCAGTTGTTGCACTTCCACGTAAGTCACCATGTATGAAGAACACAGTTCCCTTTTGAAATCTGATTTTAGCTTGTGCGAAATCAAGTTGGCATTTCAAGGTAGACTTAGACCCATTATTTTTCTCTTCATTTAGTCAAAAAACCTCCCTCTTTTTACTAATACTTAATGAGTGGGCATGGCTCTAAATGCTTTTGCATATGTTGCCTATTTGAATTTTTTCAGCCTTTTTCATTGACAGTTATCACCCTCCCCACCCCAAGCTTTTTTAGACATTTTCTCCTGATCATGCTCTCCCCAGTGAAATTGTAATACCACAGATACACTGGTGTGTGTGTGTGTGTGTGTGTGTGTGTGTGTGTGTGTTTTAATGTACTGTATGTATGTAGTGTTTTAATAACAAAGAGGATACTTTTTTCCCACACACACCCCTCCTAGATGCAAGCATATTTTGCCCTCATTGAGAAAGCATGCTCTAGAGTAGGTATTATGATCCCTGTTTCATAAATTTTTTAGGAAAACTAAGGCACGGAGAGATACAATAACTTGCCTAAAGTCATACCCAAGCATTCTGGTCTTTGAGAACTTTGATTTTGCACTCAGCATCAAGCGCAATCACATCTTCATCCAGTTGGAAAAAACTAAGATTAGGTTTTCATCATGGCAGACTTTGTCTTCACACATAGATGTGTACTCTTTATTTAGAGTTTATTGTTTTTTTATTTAAATTTTTTTTTTCAACGTTTATTTATTTTTGGGACAGAGAGAGACAGAGCATGAACAGGGGAGGGGCAGAGAGAGAGAGGGAGACACAGAATCGGAAACAGGCTCCAGGCTCTGAGCCATCAGCCCAGAGCCCGACGCGGGGCTCGAACTCACGGACCGCGAGATCGTGACCTGGCTGAAGTCGGACGCTTAACCAACTGCGCCACCCAGGCGCCCCTAGAATTTATTGTTTATCCAATTGAACAGAAACCATTTTCAGTTTACTGTGAGACTTTATGGAAAGACAGTATTAATGTTAAGATTGCTAATATTGCTTCCAGTGACGTAGACAGACATATGTATTTCCAATTAAATGATCTTTACTCCTAGTGATGATTCATACAATTTTTTTAAAACTCCTCTAATTTGACCATCATTAGGTTGTGATTCAGCCATGATTGGCATGTCTATACAGATACAATCCTATATGGACATTTTCCAAGCTAGAATATTTTGAATTCAGATATAATTAACATGTAACATATTAGTCTCAGGTGCACAACATGATAATTTGGTATCTGTGTATGTTGTGGAATGAACATAATAAGTCTGGTTAACATCTGCCACCACACATAGTTAACACTTTTTTTCTTGTGATGAAACGTTTCAAGATAAGTTCTCTTAACATTTTCCAAGAATACCATAGAGTATTCTTAACTATAGTCCCCATGCTGTACATTATGTCCCCAAGACATAAAATAAGATGAAAATATTTTATTAAGCCAGAATTTTTGAGGGATTATGTTGACATAAATTAAGACTGGTTAATTCATTTGGGTAAAGTTGAGTACCTTGATCATGACTGTAGGTTCAAAGTCCATTTGCTATTATATTCTATGTACGGTGTCACACTGAACCCTTCACACCCTCTTTCACTTAACTGGGTATGATAATATGGACGTACTGACCTGAGCTACTTGCTGTGGGGTCAGAGCATCATCACATATGGAGAATGTTCTAGAGCCTAATATTTACAGTAGTACTAAATTTGTGAAAAGTGGGCTTGAAGTATTGTTCCCTAGATTTGTAAAAAGCATGTTGATAAAATCAACGTAGGAAAACTTCTCCATTAAAAAGTCACGTAAAAAAATGAAGTCCTGTATCATCACCATCATCTGGGACTGACTGAATGGGCAAGTCGTTGTTTGCTGGACTTGATGGAGGTAAATACTAGTTTTTAAAGATTTAACTTCAAATTTCATTTTAATGTTCACGTTTTCTTTACATGCTTTATAAAACTGATAAAAAAAAATTTGTTCCTTAAAAAATCTTAACTCTCATGTTAATCATTCTAAATCACTTACAACTTCTTATTGTTACTGTCTGTCACCACATTTTCTCCATTCCCTACTCATAGTTACAACTCTTGGTGGTTATTCATTTAGATTATTGTTGCAATACTTTATCCTCTTCTGCCTTTTGTTCTCCATACTACCTCATTAATTAGTCCCATTACCTCCTTTGGTATTACCTGTTAAGTGGAGTCCGTTTGTGATCTACTTCAGACTTTGTTTTTGTACCAATACTTCCTTTCTTTCCAGGTTACTTTCTTTAATCCTCTGTAACACTTGGAATCCTTTGCCCCTCAGGGACCCACTGATCTTAACCACTTTTTCATGGTTCCTTTTCCACTCCCATCTTTTATTTCCTCCCTACCAGGTTTGGCTCATAATTAATCATTATAATCACTGTTGCATTTACCCTCAAATCCTTTTTTCCTTCTCTCACTTCATTGTTTTTAGTGAAACCACAATCCTGGTTAAATATGCCTGGTTAAATATGTCTATACTGGCACAGCTAATTGAAAAACAGCACAAGCAAGCTGAATGATCTTATTTTAAATTCATGATCATTAACTTGAGGTGGGCTCATAATGTTGCCTGCCAGTCACGCCACACTTGGTTTTTTCTCCCACTCAGAGATGACTTTCATACATTCCTGAAACCTCCAGTATTTTCTCTACCTTTGTTACTCTCAACTGATAGCCTTGCTTCTACCCTACTGAGAAAATTGAAGTAGTCAGAAGATAATTTCTGCCAGTTTCCACCACTACAAATGAATCTGTGTCCGTATGTTCCTATCTTTTCTTCTCACTAAGGCCAGCCCTTCACTTTACTAGATCCCATCCCTTCTACCTACTCAAGGACATTGTTGGAGGATTTCTTCCTTTCTCACGTGAATCATTAGCTTTTCTTTCTCTACTGGATCGTTCCCATCAGTGTTAGAAACCTACTATAATTTCTTCTTTAAAATAAGAAGTCCTGTTAGCCCACTTTGGGGTCCTCCAACTTCTCCTCTTTCCTTTAGAGCAGAATACTTTGAAAGAATCCATATACTTCCCTCCATTTCTTCTCCCATGCTTCCTTGAACCCACTCCAGTCTGCCTTTCATCTCTGTCACTTCACCAAAATTGTTCTTCCCAGGTCTCCAGAGACTATCTTGTTGCTAAGTCCAGTGATGAATTTTTTGTTTTAGTCTTTGTCTTCACTTGATCTATCCACAGTTTTTGACAGTATTTATTACTCTGAGAATATTTATCAGTCTTCTCTGAAATAATGTCTTTTGGCTTTCAGGGAACCATTCTTCTAGTTTTCTTCTACCTTTCTGTCTGTGCCTTCTGAGTCTCTTAGGCTGACCTGTCCATATGTCCCTAGTCTCTAATTGGAGTGCTCCAGGACTCCATTCTTAGGCTGCTGCTTCTGTTTTGTTTTCTCATTCCCTAGAATTGGTGGTTTTAAATCCTGTCTCTTGTGATCATGTTCAGATTTATTCCAGTCCAACCTTAATCTTAACTCTAGATGTTTAGTAGGTATCTCAAAGTAGTGTGTTTAAAACCAACCCATGAAACTTCTTAAATTTGCTGCTTCTACAAATCTTCCCATTTCATTAATGGCAGGTACATTTTTCTAGTAGCTCTGATTTTTAAAACTTTAATAACATCCTTTTGTTGTCAATTTCTTTCATATTTAGTTTATCCACAAATCCTGTTGGTTCTCATATCAAAATATATCCACAGTTTGAACTGCTCATCATCCTCACTTGCCTTTGGCCCTGGGCCAAGTCCCTGACTTCTCTAACCTGGATTATTGAGTTAGCTTCTTAACTGATTTCACAGTGCCCTTGCCACCCTTCAGGCTGTTTTCTTGTTAGTAGCCAAAGCAATCCTGTTAAAATAAAAATTAGATTATATCACTCTGTATCTTCCAGTGGTTTCCCATCTGAGAATTAAAGCCAAAGTCTTTACATTAGCCTACAAGTCCTCACAGAACCAGTCCTCTGGTTACACTATCCTACTTGCCATCCCTTTGAACAGTCCAGATGTGCCCCCATCTCAGAGTCTCTGCCCATGGCTTTCCTTCTGCATGAAGTGCTCTTTCTTAGGATACCTGTGTGACTAGCTCCCTTTCCCATTTTGTTCCAAGTCTGGGTTCCCGTTTTGTTCCAAGTCTGGGTTACTTCTCTTCTCCTGTTAACTAAAATTTCAATCTTCTCCCCCCAGTACATTCCCTTTCCTGCTTTACTTTTTTCTCATTTATCAACACCCAACATAATATGTTCATTTCGTGTCTTCCTTACTAGAATATAAGCACCATGAAGGCACAATTCTGTTTTATTTGCTCACTGCTGTCTTCCCACCACCCAAAGCATTACTTAGTGTGTATTAGGTGCATAATGACTTTTTCTTAAACATATATATATCTGTATCTTTATAGACATAGACTTAATTGGCAAGGAATGTGCTAGGAAATTAGACGGTCATGTATTTTTTCCCATGGATTTTATTTTTTTAATAATTAGAACTTGCTATTATATTGGAATTGAATTGTTCTTTCTTCTTGAAGTTTCAGAAAATGATCAGAGCTTTGAGGTGACCATGACTGCAACCGCAGAGGTGGCAGATGATGAGATTACTGAGGGAACTGTGACACAGATCCAGGTATAGTGAGTCTTTTTACTGACTGCAAGAGGATTATCCTTAACACATACCTTAGGTGATAAAATGATGAGAACATAATTTGTCTGACAAAGGACAGAATTGAGGTAAGATTTATTATTTCATTCAGGTTTCCAGTCCCCACTTGTATGAATCTCACAATAGTAGGCAAAGATAGAATTTTAAAATTCATTCCCTATAGTGGTCCACATCTGTTGAAACAGATGGTGCACGTGTATTCTTTAGCTACATGGAATGAACTCATTTGAGCTGTTAAATAACTTTAAATTTTATCTTACCGGTTATATAAGATATTGATATAAAGCTTTTTAAGTGTTACCCAGCACTTCTCTCTAGTGACTGATTTAGAAAGGCTACATGTGTTCTCTGTTCTAATATGAATGGAAGCTAGTTATTTAACACGGATTTTAATTATGACAGTTGTAGCTCAGGTAGAACCTTTTGGTGTTTACAGGACTAGATAACATTTTACCCTGAGTTAAGAAGTTGGATAACAATTAGGGGTTACTGCTTTCTTTTTATGTGAACTTCTGTGTTTCATATGAGTTATTTCTGCCAAAAGTAATAGAATCCTTTGCTCTTTTAGATAGCCTGGAGCTTAAATCTCTTTTACTTGTAAGTTTATATCTCTGGCTGATTGGGCCTTTCTTTTTAGTATCTTGTCCTTTTGTTTCATTTCTTTAATTAATAAAATATTTTTAAAGTAGACAGTAGAGACGTTACATCATTATCTTATGTGAAGCATGACAATGAGCCTTCTTCAGTTAGGTAGAAGAATTACAAGTTGATAGTATAACATCAAGGACTAAGGATATCTCAAGTGGGTGCACTGTGAGCCTTTTTCAATAGGGAACTTCACAGTGGTTCCAGAATGACTGAATTTCTAGAGGAGTGAGTCTTTCATGTACTTCAAACAGCTTTGAGCCCAGCTAGAGATTCTCATTATCTGCTTTTATATTTCAGTGGGTGGTTTGGACAGGAATTTTTTCCATGCTCTCTGAAGCAATAGAGCACGTTCTTCAAAATGGGGCTTGTCAAATTCGTTTCCAATTCAAAGACTATATAGTCCCACTTAGATTCCGTTTTCGGCACCGTACAAATAGGTGTGTATTCATAGGTGATTTGGTTCACAACCTAGTTGTTAAAAGATTGAGCAGTGGCAGTATTAGACAGATTATAGGGTTGTTTTGTTTGGGTTATTTCTTAAGAGTTAGTGAGTTATAATTTCATAGTAGCCTCTTGGTTTATTATTAACCATTTTAGTCAATGAAAAACTTGTAATAGTTTCTAATATTTGTTTCATAAGAATACCGTTAGGTTGTGAGTGAAAGCATAGTTAAAATTTCAGAAATAGTCTGCTTTTTGCTCTGTCCTCTGTGTCAAAGCAGGTGTAGCTATTTCACATATTATGGTAGTTACTATACTGTCCCATTTCAGCAATGGAACTATCTTGAAAAATGATTAGAAACCAAAAAATTTCCCAATATATACAGTGCTTTGTGGTTGCAAGAGGCATTTAGTGGGTAAAATGCTTAGATTTACATTCCTAAGTCAATGTATGTTATAGGCATGAAACCCTACAGCCAAGTCAAAAAGGCTGCATTTAAAAAACAAAAACAAAAAACACTATAGTGGGTGGCTCAGTCGGTTTAGCGTCCGACTCTTGATATCGGCTCAGGTCATGATTTCAAGATCATGGAATCAGGGTCCAGTGGGGCTCTACACTGAGCATGGAGCCTGCTTATGATTCATTCTCTCTCTCTCTCTCTCTCTCTCTCTCTCTCTCTCTCTCTCTCTCCCTCCCTCCCTCCCTCTCTCCCTCTCTCTCTCTCCCTCTCTCCCTCTCTCTCCCTCACCCCCTCTCTCCCTCACCTCCTCTCCCCATCCCCCCGTGTCCCCCCCCCTGTCTCCCCGTCTCCCTCCCTTCCTCTCTCTCTTCCTCCCTCCCTCCCCCTTTCCCTCATCCACCCTCCCTCCCTCCCTCTGCCCTTCTCCCCTGCTCAAGCTCTGTCTCTAAAAAATCACAAGTATAAATAAAAAAGTATACTAAACATATCTGAGTAATTTAAAAAGCTTCTACATAAAGTAGTGAAAATGGAGATAAAATAATGTAAAACTTAATATCTACATACTACGTGTAGATAGATAACATTTAAGGTAACTATGTCTCCTACTATCCTCATTTAACTCATTTGTCATGGACAGTGTTAATTATTAGTTCTAAAATACAATAATTGTTGGCTTCATTTGATGGCTTTTTACATGTTTACCATTATATGACTTAAGTAATAATTGTAATTCTTCATCAGGGTAATTTAAGCCAAAAGGCATTAGGTATTTGTCCAAAGAGAGCAGTTAATTAGCATGACAAGTGTATTCTTAAGTTCATAGAGTGGTCTGTGTATTTAGACTCACTCTGGGAAATGATGATTTTATTCTTTTAAGCAACTGGTTAATATATAAGAGAACATCATTTCAGAAGAATATTTTCTACATTACATTTCTTAACAGTAGATATTGTTTGTATCAAGGTCTTTTCACAGCAGTCTCTATCACAGTAACCTCTGTGTCAAATCTTAGATAATTGGGTTCTTCAGTATACAAGAGACATTATCTGTCTAGTCTGTCTCCATTCTCAGCTTTATAAAGGTAGCCTCTTGATCTTTAAAAGAAAAAATCTAAAGTGTATGACACATAAATGCAGGGTTACAAAACTTTTCATACTTGTTCCAGTGACTCTAGCTTTTTGCCCATGGATTTAAGAAAACACTTTAATAAATACAATATATTCATTACCCCCAAATAGAAAAATAAAGTAGGTGACAAAGGAAACGTGGCTTTTCTATTCATTGTGCTTGGTTTGTTCACTGACAGCTTCTCTCTTTCCAAGTAGGATGATTTCAGTTCCTCTTGAAATTAGAAATTCAATTTCTGTCTATTCAAGAAATAGTCCAATCTCTTAGGATTTACCTCCAGCCAGTGACATAGTTTAGTTAATCTAGTCTGAGACCGAATGGAATTGAGTGGTCACTAGGCATGTGACTTTCCTCCTATTCTTATCTGCCTATGGTAGGTGGGCTCATGCCTGAAATGGTAGCACTGTTTCCAGATCTTTCTGACTCACACTGTATCTGTCTTTAGCCCAAGACCAACTCTCTTAAGCAGCTTTGTTCCTGCAGAATTTGCTAGGTTAGGTATATCTGTAGTTGAAAATGTACCTGGTGTGACAGTTGGATAAATACACTGAAAGCAACTGAATTTTATATTATAAAGGGTGAATTTTATGGTGTGTAAATTATATCTCATACTTGTTTCAGCAGCACATATACTAAAAAATTGGAGTTATAAAGTTCTCAATAAAGTTGTTAGTTTTTAACTTCATGGTATTCAATGAAGATTATTTTTACCATAATAATAATAAATAATACCATATAGTTCTTTGAGAAGAAGGTATATTAATAAGGTTAGGAACCTACTCTTGAGATTGGCTAAAACAAAGTTGTCAGTGAACTATAAGCAGACTGTGATTTTGCAATGTCTTTTGATTTAGCCTGTTAATTCTTTAAATTTAGCAAGAGAGTACATTACAGATGACTAAATATTTAGGCAACAAATAACCTATAAGGACATGAACAACCGTGACACTCATCTGTAACATTTCCATTTTATTGTATGTATGAGCTCATTTTACATATATGAATATACAGATGGCTTCAGATATATTAATTCAGTCACATAATGGAATCTTAACTATTATTCTATAAAATTTAAGCCACTAGTACAGAGTTACTTGTTTAAATGAAGGTCATATTTTATTAATGCAGGCAGTTTTGTTTTCATACTGCCATGAGAACAGTAAAAAAAATTTGTTTTTCTATAAATTGAATATATTTTTACTATATCTGAAACAAATGAATTCTGTATTAGTAGAGTTTTAGAATGTTTAGTATTGCACACAAAGATGAATCAGATTGGGTATTAAATCGAGCTATACTTTTTTTTTTTTTTTCTACTTTTACATCTTCAAGATTCTACAGAATGAGCAACTAGATGAAATATCTCCCTTGGGTAATGAGGAAGTTTCAGCAGTTAGCCAAGCATGGTTTACAACTAAAGAAGATAAAGATTCTCTGACTAACAAAGGTAAGCTATATTGTGAATTTTAGTGTCCACTGGAAAAAAATGGAGGTAAAAAGATCTGGTAGTCATCAGGATTTTGAATTGGGCCTTCATAGTTGTGATTGAGTAGTTACAGAAATTGAGTTTACCATGAAACCAACATTTGTTTTTCAGTACTTGATCATTTCTCTGACATGCAGTAAATTATAAACAGATGTCCATTAAAAGACAGTATAGTTACTGCATGGGAGTGGGAAGACCAGTCTTTTCAGAGATCTAACTTTGGTCTGATAGGCAGCTTAGCAGCTTAAAGTAAGTGTTTTATAGTGCTGCAGAGTTCATAAGGATTGTTAGGGAACTGCTACAACAAAGTGCAGGTCATGGATATGCCACTCTGAAATAAGAAAAGGAAGCAAAAGTAAGTAAATTGTTTTCAACCACTGCATAGTAAATACTCATAAAGAATGTATTATTCACTTGGTATCCATTGGATTATGTTTACCTTGTCCTAGAATCTTTTGTGCACATTCTTTTGCCCATAAAATTTATTTTTTGCATTGGATAAATTTTTCAGAAAGTTTGGAGCATGATTTGGCTTTTATAATTCTCATGCCTTTTTATAGCAAGCTTTTATTATTGAATAAGAAATATAACTGATAGGAAGTAATAATTTTTTTTCCTTTTACTTCTTACTGTCTTTATTTAGTAAGATTGAATGTATTCTGTTTTAAAAACCAGAGGTTACAAAAGCAACTACGTGGAGATCTTTCAGATTTCAGATGAAGGAGAAATTAGCTGCCTTTTATTCACACAGATAATTTATTTAATCACAAAGCAAATCTTTAGTGTTTTATCCATCTTGAAGGATAACATTTTCTATAATATTATTTGTTTTCCTTTAAAGGACATAAATGGAAACAGGGGATGTGGTCTAAGGAGGAAATTGATATTTTGATGAACAATATTGAACGCTATCTAAAGGTATCTTATGGCATATTTTTGTTTCACTAATTCTTTCATTTCCAGTTGCAAAAATTATCAAAGCATCATATTGTATGTACTTATTAGGAGCTTTTCAGTAATTTTTATAATGGATGATTGGCTAATATGTGTCTTGGCTTAATAATTGTAAGGTGTATGATTATGGTATGTTTTTAAACAAATTTTGAATTCTTAGTTTAAAATAGTTTTACTGCTTTAGTTAATACCAAAAGTTTAGACAAAATCCTCACAGCTTCTCAAAACCCTAAAGCCCTGTCTTTTCAAGCAACCTAATAATTAAGAGTTTAAGCTTGTATTGTCTAAAGCTTAAGATACACATCTTCTTCTTTGAGTGAATTTCTGACATGACAGTCCTCCCTTTTTTAAAAAAATGGATAATTTAGTTCATTTTCCTGTTGAGGCTTATATGTTAGCTAAGTCATCCTCTTCAGTAAATGTCTCTCGAACACAGTATTTTTGAGGCACTGGAGATAGGAATTACTATAACACAAGGTACTGGTGTTTGAAAAGCCAGCAGTTCATTTGGGAGTGTTGAAAGCAGGTGAAGACCAACACAAGGCTTTGTACCATGTGAGTGATAAATTCTGCATGAAATCAGAGAAGGAAGAATGTATTTTTAGGGTTTGGGACAGTTAGGGAAAATACTTGGAAGATCAAGGATTTGAGCGGAATCTTTTAAGAAATAGAACTTAGACTGGAATAGGGCTGGAGGGAACAGCATGAGTAAATGCTGAGTACCAAGGAATCAGAAATGAAACCCAGAGCACGTTGAATTAGCCCTTTTAACTTGAACTGAGTTAATTAGCCTCTGGAAGCTTGACTTTGAAATCCAGTCCAAAAAATTAGAACTCTTTCCTATAGGAAAATGAGAAAAACTGGTAACTTAGTTAAGTGAGGAATTGGTGGAGTAGATCTGTGCTCTTCTCAAGGAAATGTTTCCAGAGATTTGCTGACCATTCCTGTAAAGGAGTTAGTGCATGTTTGAAATATAGACCATTAGCACTGTTTGGGAATGGGAGGAGTACAGTATTTATTTAACCATTCCATTGTTTGATTCTTAGGTGGTTTATATTATTTTTCACTATTATAAATACATTTGCTGCCTAGAATATCCACGTTGTAAAGCTTAATTTTAAGCTGTACTCTTCCCAAGCTAAGCTTTATGAGCTGTAAAGAGTGAAACACTTCATTTCTTTGTTAATGGGTAAAGATTATTCCAAGCAAACTAGTTTTTTGGGGTTTTTTGTTTGTTTGTTTTTAAGAGAAACACAAGTGCAGTGACCATTGAAAATGTATCTAGAAGTGTATTAAAGTTGTCCACTGGTCACATACACTTTAGTTAAAATGGAAAAACCTGGAAAAATGTTGCAGGTTTAAATAAGGCAATGACGAACAGTAACAACATTGAACTTTGGGAATTAAGGTGGTTTCTTGTCTAGGGGATTGGAGTAGATGGTTTCCAGGGATTAAAGGGTGGGAATGTGACTGAAATTTGAGAGCTTTTAGATGACCATTTCAGTTGACCAGATGAGAGTAGTAAGGACTTTATGGTGGTGGGAGAAGAATTTTCAGGGAAAGGGCAGATAAGCAGGTAATCTCTAAGGAAACCTGGTGACTGGATGTTGGGGAAGAGGGAAAATGAGGGGTTGGAATAACTTCAGAATGTTTTATTTTTGGATAACTAGGAGAATAATGAATGAATTGGCAGGGATAGGAAATGTCCACAAAGATGTACTGATCTTGGGAAAAGATAATTTGTTTGATATTTGACCATGGTTTTTAGTATGTGCTGCTGTTTAAGAACATTGTGGTGCCATTTTTAAACCAATTAATTAGATGTCAAATAAATGAAAGTAACTGTCACAAGTTTGAAAAAAAAACAGAAGAAAAAGAAAATCTTTCTATCTCACTGTATGGTCATCCTGCAACACATTGACTTTCATATATTTAGGCTTATAAATATTAGGCCTAATTATTTGCATAATTGAAACTGCATAAGAAAAATTTCGATTCTAGAATTTAGAAACTTGGGGTTCCTGGCTGGCTCAGTCAGTAGAGTGTGTCACTCTTTTGCTCTTGTAGTCGTGAGTTTGAAGTGCATGTTGGGTGTAAAGATTACTTAAAAAAGAAAATTAATTTTAAAAAATTTGGAGACTTTTTACTCTGAAATTTTACATATTCAAAAGAATGTATATAATGCATATCAGTATAATTTTACTTCTTTTTGAAATTTATGTAAATAGATTTATCCTGAGTGTTAACTGATTTCTGTTGTTTGTTGTGATTTTGTGATCCATTCCCTGTTGATTTTTTTAGCTGTATTTCATTATGCTAGGATAAATACCTACCCAGGTGCAGTCAGTGGTCATTTAGGGTCTTTTTAGGTTTTTTGCTATTAATATGTAAAAATCTGATGGGTGTGAGTGGTATTTTATTATGGATTTAATTTGTATTTCTCTGATTACATACTTTTATATATGCTTAGTGGCCATTTCTAGTGTTTCCTTTTTGAAATTCCTATTTGTATTTTCTGTCAGTTTTTCCATAGGGTTCTTTTTCATTTTCTAGACTATTTATTTATTTATTTAGAGCGAGCGAGCACGCATATGCGAGGGACAAAGAAAAGAAATACAATCCTAAGCAGGCTCCGTGCTCTCAGCGCATAGCCTGATGTGGGGCTCCATCTCCCCAAGCCCTGAGATCATGGCCTGAGCCAAAATCAAGAGTCAGGTGCTTAACTGACTGAGCCACCCAAGTGCCCCTAGACATTCTTAATGTATGCTGGTTACTAATGGTTTTTTTGTTTATTTGTATTGTAGATATCTTGTCCCAATTCAGTGGCCTAGCATTTCCTTCTCCCTAGGGGTCATATGATGAAAAAAGATTCTTAATTTTCAATATAAAAATAATCATTTTTACCTTTATATTTTGCATGGTTGTTTAAGGTACTCCTCCTCTGCGTCAAGGACATAAAAGTTTTAGTTTTGCCTTTCATACTGATTTTTTTTCCCATAGCTGTGAGATAGGATTTCACTGTTGTTGGGGTTTTTTGTTTTATTTTGTATGGATGGCAGTTGTTCTGGCATCATTATGGAATATCAGTCTTTTCCCAATGTACAATGTCCATTCTGTCCCAGATCTAGTTTCCACACATTTGTTTCTAGGTTTTCTAATATGTTCCCAGGTTCTGTTTGTTGATACCTGCACAAGTATAGATAAATGTGGGACAAGTCTCTTTATGAATGTCTTGGCTAGTTTTGGCTGTTTGCTCTTCCTTTATAAATTTAGAATCAGGTTGCAGAGAATGGAAACTGTTGGGATTTGTTGGGGGGACTGCATTGAATCTGTGCATCAGTTTGAGGGGAATTCACATCTTTATAGTATTTCATCTTGCTACTGAGAACATCGTATAGCCCTCCATTGAAGTGAATTCCTCTTTAATGCCTTTTGATAGTTTGTTTTCCTCCATGAAGGACTTGGGTAACTTGCCTAAGATTTAGTCCTATTGCTTTTAATTTTGATGTTACTGTAAATGAGAACTTGTAAACTTTGTTAGGAACTTTCTATAGAAACACAAATAAATGACTTTATATATTGACTTCGTAAGCGGCAGCCTTGCTAAATATTTTCTTTTATCAAATTGTCAGCAAAACCAAACTTGATATTTATATTTATATTTTTTCCATAAATCTTATAATTAATAACTATTTTTTTCTGAAATTAACACAAATTTGTATTCCTGGAATAAGCTCACTTTTTGCATTGATTATTAACCTTTTTATACATTGTTGGGTTCATTGTGCTAAAATACTTTAAGGACTTAGAGGATCTATGTTAATGAATGAGCTTACCTGAAAAACCTTTTCTGAAACTGTCCTTGTCTGGTTTTGTTATTGAGGTTATGTCAGCCTAATAAAGAGAATGAAGAAGTGTCCCGCCTATTTTTCTATACCCTAGAATAGTTTAAAAATCAGAATTATCTTGATTGTTTGGTAGGATTTACCTATAAAGCCATGTGGGCCTGGTGTTTCCATTGTGAGAAAATTATTAATAACTTATTAAATGTTCTTGATGGTCTAGATTTTCTTTCTCTTCCTGAGTCTATTTTGGTAAGTTTAATTTTTCTAGGAGTTTGTTCATTTTATGTAAGTTTTCAAATTTATTGCCATAGAATTTTCATAATGTTTAATTCTCTACTCTCTGTAGCATTTCTATTTAGGCCCCATGTTTTTCATTTCCAGTATGGTTTTGTCTTTTAGTTTTGCTGTAAGTTTATCTTTTCATATTTTATTAGTCTTAATGGATCTTTTGAAAGAAGCATTTTTTAGCATTGCTTGTCATTTCTGTTACTTGATTCCTCATTCCATTAATTTTGTTATGATTTTCTACTTTAGATTTTAATATTTTTCTGTTTTAAAAGGGGTTGACACAACTTTACTGAATTTTATACAGTTTCTTTTTGGAACATTAAAGTATCACTTTATTATCTCTTGAAACATTCTAAAGTTTATATTTGACTTATTAATGAATTAACAATGCATTATTTTTCTAAATGCCATTGGTGATCTTGAACATAAAAGAAACAACTTTTAAAAAGCATAGTATATCCATATGCATTTTATCAGAAATTCCTAAATCAAAGAAATGTAACCCATTTAGGCACGCGGAATAAAAGATGCTACAGAAATCATCTTTGAGATGTCAAAAGACGAAAGAAAAGATTTCTACAGGACTATAGCATGGGGTCTGAACCGGCCTTTGTTTGCAGTTTATAGAAGAGTGCTTCGCATGTATGATGACAGAAACCATGTGGGAAAGTATGAAAACTTGTAATGCTGCATGTTTTCATGTAATTAGGGGAAATACCTTGGGGCGCCTGGGTGGCGCAGTCCGACTTCAGCCAGGTCACGATCTCACGGTCCGTGAGTTCGAGCCCCGCGTCGGGCTCTGGGCTGATGGCTCAGAGCCTGGACCCTGTTTCTGATTCTGTGTCTCCCTCTCTCTCTGCCCCTCCCCCATTCATGCTCTGTCTCTCTCTGTCCCAAAAAAATAAATAAACGTTGAAAAAAAAATTAAAAAAAAAAAAATAGGGGAAATACCTTAAGGAGCTTTCATTTTTTAAAGTATAGTTATGATTAAAACTTTAATTGGAGACAGCTATGATTAGTTTGTTGTGTTAATATTTTTTCTCTCCATTTCCATGTTATAAATATGGAAACCTCATTTTAACAAGGGCTCCTAGAAACTAGAATCTAAATCCCCTTATATATGTCAGATTTTAGAGTTAGCTGTCTTCATGCGTCAAACTCTGCTTTGTAATAAAGTAACGTTATAATAAAATGTATTATAGTGGTTAAAGATTTAGGAAGTGTGGAAAAACCTCAATTCATCAGTAACATTGTTCTTATTCAATTTTTTTTTTTTTTATAGTATAGCATTTCCTAGGTTAGTGACTTTTTTTTTTTTTTTAATAAAACCAGAGTGGAAAAATAACTAAATTTCTGAATACAATGCATGGATTTCTGTTATAGGCAACATTTATGGGAAGGCATCTTTTTTTCAACTCAGTGATTATACAGTGTTACTAACATATTTATAATTTCTCTTTGGAAATTTTAGGTAGTCATAGGACAGCTTATTAGATACTGCTTTTAAAAAGAAATTGCAATGGCTGTTTTGAGTACTTGCCCAACTAAAGAAAAAGAGCCTTTACATTAAAGCAAGAGTATGGCAGATGTCCATGCATGGGTAGTGGAAATGAAGAGAATTTTAGATTTTTCAGTGCCTTGTGAAAATTCACCATAGATTTGCATCTTGGCTCTGGTTTATAATGTCATGCATAAGTCTTTCGGAATAACTATCAGAGGACCTGAAACCAGTTTTGAAATAAAGGGAAAGTTAAACAGAATAGGAGCAAATATGTTTTAAATGTTGAATTTTCCTAGAGAAAAATATACATTAATTACTTTTGTTACAGCTAAAAGTTATTTTTTTTTTGCAAAAAAAAATAGAAGCATTAGTTTTAATTTTCAGTAATTTACCTTGAAATTAGTCACTTTAAAAATATTATCATTATGCTAAGTGACTTACCATTTGGCTCCCTAAGTGAAAATCTGATTTTTATCAAGGTTGTTTAGCATTCTTTGTTTTAATTCATCTTTTTAAAAATTTGTTTAAATTTCTAGATATACACCTGAAGAAATTGAAAAGCTCAAGGAGTAAGTTTAACAATTTTTTTCCTTTTCATTAATTCTGATAGTTGGGTTTTACCTTTCTAAAAAAAATCTTTGTGTTTAAAACTTTTATTTTGAAAATGTCAAGAGAGTTTTAGTAGACTGGTATATTTAATCCTGCTGTTAAGCATGAGACCGTAAAAAAGAACTTTTCAGATCCATACGTGCAGAGTATGCCCATAAATGCCCATAAATTTAGTCTCCTGTTGTGAGCTGCCGAATGAAATGTGTGGCAGACCACTGATAAGGGTTACAGAAGAGACTAGATGGCCATTCTTGGTGGCCTGAAGACTGGACCTCAGGAACTTACATACGGAATTAAAACCAGGGTTGTGCTACTCTGTGTTTAAAATGATGACTTAGCAAATGTTTTACTTAATATCTGGGCGGACTCTACCTTATAAAGGCTATTTCACAGGAAAAATAATTTTGCTTCGTTGAGCAGGGCCATAAAGTATGGGTAAATGGATTGTATGGATCATGGTGAAAATTGAAGGCTGGTCCTTGTTATAATGATAGCACCTTGTGAAACTTTTTCAGATGACTGAGAAGAGCTTGTTAGGAATACTCAAAAGGGAACAATCTGGGGATTGCCTGGGAGATTGTCAGTAACCTGAGGGGAAATTTGGTCTTTTTTGAACACATATCCAAGTTACTTATTTCTTCTCTGACCCAGGAAAAAGGCAATTGCTGCCTGTTTTTTTTTCACCCACAGACAACTGTGGACCCCAAAAAAAGGCCACACTTTCAAACTTTGGCTCTCAAAGTATTGCTGCCCACAACTTCCAAACCACTCAAATGGGAAGAAGAAGAATGAAGAATAAATGATGAAATTAAAAGGGAGAAAACAGTTGAACCAAATGCTGATTGGCAGACTCTTGTTTTAGGCTCCGGATAAAGCATGGCAATGACTGGGCAACAATAGGGGCGGCGCTAGGAAGAAGCGCGTCTTCCGTCAAAGATCGGTGCCGACTGATGAAGGATACTTGCAACACAGGTACTGTCAGCGCCCCCGCTGGCTTCTCTGGTCTCCATTGGCGCTTCCTGGCCTTTCACATATGCCCTGTCTTCTGTCCTGGGAAGAAATTTGTCATTCACTTTGTAGCAGGAATTTAACTCTTAGAAACCTTAGTCTCCAGTGAAAACTAGTAACCAATTGTGAACTCTCTGTTACATCAGAATTTTTTTTTAGATGGCAAGCTTATAAATCCATTAAGCACAAAGCATGTTTTCACCAGTTCCAAAGATCCTTAGGTTTTTTGGGTTTTTTGCCACAAGTCAGAAGCACAAACCTACATCTAGTAATTAGTGCTTTAGCTTCTTATCTTGTTAGATATCCAATGAATTCAATCTTAGTTTATCATGCAAGTAAAACATTAACGTTTTAGGTTACCAAAGACTGAAAGCTATCTTAACAATTACCCACCCATGAAAACTTAAGAGACCGACAAAATTAACTGTCACTTTAAGTCATCCTTTTGTTAACAAATTGGAACAGAGATAACATGAGCTTATTTGACCCTCAGCAAATCAAGGTAGAATAAAAGTTTTTTCAATGTTGATAAACATCTATCTCAAACCAACAAACTTAAATTAGCTTAAACACTGAATACGTTTTACTTGAGTCTGCGTAAGACAATTTGTTCCCCTTGGTTAATTTTTACCTGCAACGTTGGTGGGGAAATCTGACATCGGTGGTCTTTGTTCCTGGACATCTAGGGTGGGAGGAGGAGCTGATGGTGCCTGAGGCATTGAGGAGCCAGTTGTGCCAGCCGCCCCCCAGGTGGTGCAGAAACAGGAGCGGGGAAGGGAAGGCAGAAGAGACAGGTGCCAGCGGAAGGCAGAGAAGAGAATTCCCAGTTTTAAATCTTGGCAGCTCAGACAGAGGAGCAGACTCCAGGTTTCTTTTGTTTTGTTTGCCACCAGTGGAACGAGACAGTCCATGTCAGTCCTGAGAAGACAGGGAATTTCCTCGAAACAAAGGAGTTTTGGCAGCTGCTTGGGAATATTCCCTCAAGTCCCCGTTCTGAGGTAGAATAACCAGAGACAGTTGGCTCGAATTATAGTCGTTGACCAAGGAAATGAAGGAGACACAAGTCCCCATACACAGTCACACGGCGACTCCAACCTGCTGCCCAGCACCAACACCTTAGTGTTGCAGCTTCGTTTCTCGTCCCTTGTGGAACTACTAGTGCACCTCTGGGAGGTGATCAAGCTCCCCTTCTGCCTCTTACGGGCAGGTCTGCCAAAACGAACCTGGGTTCTTAGAAGGCTGATGGGCATCCCTGAGCCAGTTCCTGGGCCTCTTGGGTTCCATGAGCACCTACGGGGGTTGTTGCCCCGGTGTGCCAGGAGGGCTGGTCTCCTGTGGATCAAGCGGCCTGCTGGCACCAGGTGAGGCTGCCTCTCCCGGCACCCCAAGGTTTGCAGCCCCGGTGGCAAAGGAGGTGGAAATGCACTGTCTGAATCCCAGACGAGCCCCCCAGTAATGTAGCAGAATTCTCGCACAGAGAGTCATAACACCGAGGCTTTTCTTTCCAGGAAGCAACTTTATTCCTGCTGGCACCGCTCAGTTAGGTTCGTTCCCAAAGAACTGAGCCCCGAACGCCACGTGGTGTAGTTTTCTATGTATTTTTTTACTTCGTCTCCCATATATGGTAACACACAAACATGTGGTCTGATGTTAAGTGGTCTCATTTTACAAGGTCTTGAGGGATGTTGTCAAGTAAGCAAATAGCAAGGTTGCCTTGAGGGTTTTTTTTTCCTTTTCTTTCCTTAGGGAGGGGACCCTACCACAATTTTAATTCAGATTTTATTTTCTAGTCTTGCTTTTTCATCAAGCTTTATAGACCTAAGTAATCCTTCATTTTTCTTTTGTGTGAGATGACACTGTTCACAGGGACATATCTCACTTTTCAGTCGTTTTAGGTATGTACCATGTTTCCTTTTTGTAGCAACTCATAACTGCTCCGGTTGTGAAAGTATTTATCATTAAGGCTTACATACAGGAGTTTGTTTTAATTTAAGCCCATCTAACTGTGGAACTTACGTTAACAAGCTTATCAACTCAGGTTTATAAAACACTTTAGTTCAGGCAGATCACAACTTAAGAAGTTATATTCCAAAGGTGTGGCTCTCTTTTGCTTATTTCAAACAAATAAGTATATTTTTCCATAGAAAAAAACTTGCGACTGTGTTTCAACCCCCAGACCACAAATGCCTTTTTAACTTTTAACAGATGACACTATTAAACCTAACCTTTGTGATCAACAACAGTATTTAGACTTTGCCACTAACTCTCACTCAATCTTTCTGAGCCTCAGTTTCCTCTGTAAAAGAAAGAGGTTAGAATGATCTCCCTTTTAGCCCCAAAATTCTCTGAAGGATCCACACTCTGCTCATTCTTTGAATTAAAAAAAAAAAAAGTTATCAAGTTAAGCTTTCAGTGTATATATTTTCTGTTTTCACCTCCCTATCCTGCTAAAGTGGAATTAGGAATATTTTCTGAGTAACCATTCCACCAGCACTATGACCTGCAAGACAGTGAGAACAGAAATTCCACTAACTCTTGTTATTCTGTGAATGACAGCTTAACGAATGAAGCTGGAATAGGAGCTTTAGATTTAGGATGGGACCCTAGCGTTTTATGTAAGACATTCTGAGAGCAGAACCCCTTTTGTTAGCATAATAATGGAAAAACACTGCCATTTCCTGATTGCCAGTCTGAGGGATTGATTCGCCTGTTTGCTTTTCATGTTGCTACATAGTATTTCTGATCATGACTTCTCTTTTTTTGTACCACACTATGAGACACTCATGCTAAAGTAGGAGAGCAGGATTTTGCCTTGAGTATGTGGTATCCAGAACTATGCCTAGCACATAATAGATGTTCAGTAAATATTTGTTGAATGAATGGAATCCCTGAAGCAGGCATAGTGGCACTTTTGAAATTTTCTAGATATTTTTAGTTACTAATAACAAAATGGAAACATAAGTGGGAGGGGTAAAAAGTTTCTCTTCTTTTCCTGTTTTTCTGCTTGATCCTTAAGAAAAGACCAAAGAGAATCATTTGGTGTTATTACTGGTTTATGGCTTCGGGAAAGCCTTGAGTAAAATCATGTGTGAGTGCCAGTCTCAGACTTCTCTTTTATCACAGTTTCTTGGAGTTGGGATGGGGGGAAAGGAGATCATGTAAACCTAGTTTTCATTTTTACTAAAATGGGCGGAAGCCCATAGGAGTTACACCATTCATTACTGTAATGAAGGATCTCTGTTGGCTTACTGCATTTCTGCAGAGCAGGAATCTTAGGTGATACTAAGTAAAAATTGTGTGTTTCTTTGTCCATCATGCCATTCGTGAAGCTCTTCCTACTTACAATTAATGCAACTTGACCGTACAGAATTCTTTCTAGGTATATATTGGGTAGTTTTTCTTTCCTTTAAGAGTCGGTCATTGTTTTCTACAAGACTCTGTATTTTCTTTGATACCAAGAACCTTACTGGGCTAGTATAGGCTAGTAAAACAACTGTCTTAGTAGATGTGTGCAGTTCCCCACCCCCGGGTCATTCAGAAATACTTTGGGTGTTACTGTGTACTTCCCATCAGTCCTTGGAAATACAGGGCTGAATCTGATTTGGGGGAAAAAAAAAAAAGGTAGCAGTAGTAGTCTAGATGATTTCCTTCTTTTAGGGAAGTGGACAGAAGAAGAGGAAAAGAGACTTGCAGAGGTGGTTCATGAATTGACAAGCACTGAGCCTGGTGACATAGTGACACAGGGCGTGTCTTGGGCAGCTGTGGCAGAACGAGTGGGGACCCGCTCAGAAAAGCAGTGTCGCTCTAAATGGCTCAACTACCTGAACTGGAAACAAAGTGGAGGTACTGAATGGACCAAGGAAGATGAAATCAATCTCATCCTCAGGTTCGTGTCCTAGATCTTTTAATAACAAAAGCTGCTTAATGGCTCTAGGTATCTTGATGGATTTTCCTCTTTGGGTCTCCCTAGATGCCTAATGTCTGAAAAGCATCCTTTCCATAGAGAAATGATCCATAGAGGATCCTTCAGATCCTTTGTATTTCATATTGAGCTTTTTTTGTTTTGTGTTCCTTTTTAGTGGATTTAGTGCTCGTGCAAAGTAGCAGATTGAAGGCGTAGAGACTGAAGTCCTCTCTATCCACAGAACAGGTATGGCACAGGCGGTGGCCCTGCAGCTTGCCACCGTCCCAGCAATGTGCCTCACTCCTAGCAGAGGGAGACTGTGTCAAGGGGAAGAGGGCTGTTCAGTCTCCATGCCCTTCACTCTTGGGCTGTTTGGATTGCCAAGAGGGGGGTTCAACTATAGTTACCCCACACCTTCATACTGGGCCGAATCAGATACTTCCATTTCACATGTATCCAAACATAGCTAGGAGATAATCCTAAGCTTCTTTTTTAAATTAGTCGTTTTAACCATTAAGAATCAGTGACCCAAATGAGCAAAAATACCAGCAAGAAATGTTTGAGACCTTGAAGTAATAGAAGCTACTCCCTCCTGAAAATCAAAATCATCATGACAGTTGAAGCTAGAAAACAAGTAGACTGTTCATACCCCAAAATTTAGTTGTGCTATTATAATGGTTGTTAATGTTTTGGTTGTTGCTGGAGCATTGTTTTTGTTTTTTCAACATTTGGGGTTTTGTTTTTAATACACTTTTTGCAAATAGTCATCTACAAATAGCTCATTTCTAAACATTTTTAGTATAGAAACGGAAAAGCTCAGATGTACGAAATAACTTGCTCTAACACACTATAAAACATTGCAGAACACTATACAACTAAACCTGCTCTTATCCTGTTCTAATAACCTTTAGCTACTCCCTTTCCTTTACAGTGTTTCATCTGGTTGTCACCATTTACACTCGGGCCCATCAGTTGCACCATTAACAAAAGGCTCTTGCTGGTGGGATTTCATAGCTCTCAGCTCTGGAAGCAGTGTGCACTCCTGGAATCCCTTCCTTCCCATACACCTTAACAAAGCATCTCCAACATAAGTTGACATTCCCTTTATTGCCATTGCCATCACGTGTAGTCAGAGGAGGTTTCTTACAGAGAAATAAATAACATGTAACAAATGGTTGTTTTAACCTGTAGGATAGCAGAGCTTGATGTAGCTGATGAAAATGACATAAACTGGGATCTGTTAGCAGAGGGATGGAGCAGTGTCCGTTCACCACAGTGGCTTCGAAGTAAATGGTGGACCATCAAAAGGCAAATTGCAAATCATAAGGATGTTTCGTTTCCTGGTAATGTATTATTTGATTCTTAAGTCCTTCCCAAGTCTTACCATTTTTACTCCTCAGGACTTACTTAGAGGTTAGAAGTTCTTTGCCTCAGCTAGAGATCTGAATCATGGCAGAACTTCATTTAAACCTCTGCCCTATTTTGGGGGGCAACTGTCTTTTCTTCCCTTAAGAAGAGTTGATGTGATTTGTAATTCTTAAAGCAGCTGAGATGAAAATATACACAATTGACATACATTCTTGTTCTCATATAAACTGTGAAGAAGAAATTGATTTTAGATATTGTGTACAAAGATGTATTTTTGAAAACTTAGGTTTAAATCAACTTTTATGTGTTGAATAATTTCAAATATCTTAGCTGGGTTTGTCATTTAGAGAAATTCCTTAGTGGTTTTATAGTACAAAGACTAAATTGTAATTCGTTTGTTATCTAAATCTAGAGATATTAACTTGGGTTTGCTTAAAATGAGGCAGAGCACGTTTGGCTCTTCATTGCCTGCTTTGCACGTAGGGTGTGCATCTAAGTCGTACAGTCTGTTTAATTAAGGTCATCAAATTCATTCCCCTTGGTATAGTTCTCCAACTTCCTATTTTTCCAAAGGAAAATTATATTCTGAAGAACTCTGGCTTGATGAAAATATATTTTTTTTTAACACATAGTTATAAATTTATAAATCAGGTGTTAAACCCAGAAGAGTGAGTGAATACTAATGTGACATGAACCCACCCAGATTTTACTATCACCTGAAAGGGCTTACAGAGTTTATCATGACTAGTGGAGGGTGACAAGTGTAGATTTTGCTTTCCTGTACAAGAATTCAAGGTGGTTGCAGAGTACTGTTTGCTAAAGATGAGCTGCTACTCTGGAGGTGTGAGTTAAGTGTCCTTGAGTCCTGGAGGGGGTTGGAGGGCGTACACTATTCGTTTTGAAAAGAAAATAAGCTACTTTGCATTAACAATGTTCTTCTTAAGTAATAAGAATTTTATCCTGAAGCCTTAGGACATTGAAGAGGTCTTATTTTCATGTTCCACACAGGGTTTTGTGTTTTTTCTAATGCATCTTGGTTGACAAGAATAATACTATGAATTTTTTTTAATTTCTTGTGATGGATAGTGTTTCCACAAATTTCCAGACAGGTTGTAGCCTTAAAATATTTTTATTACTATTTTGCTGAGATCTCACATGCAGTATACAATTATTTATTCCAAATACTTTCCCTCCTTACCCCCACCTCCCTTGCTGCTTAGATGGTGGTCTGTCGGAGAATCAATGTTCTTTTTGTCTACCCATCTCCCTTCAGTCTTAATAAAAGGTCTTAAACAGTTACATGAGAACCAAAAAAACAACCCAACGCTTTTGGAGAATAAATCAGGATCTGGAGTTCCAAACAGTAATTCCAATTCCAGTGTACAGCATGTCCAGATCAGAGTCGCCCGCTTGGAAGACAGCACAGCCATGTCTCCAAGCCCCGTGGCAGCCTTGCAGATTCCGGTCCAGATCACCCATGTCTGTAAGTGTTTATTACTCAAGACCCCTTGCCATTATGGGACCTATACAATTTGTTAATGGCTTTACCATCTAATACCCTTCATTCTTCTAGAATGTGGATAGAAATTTGTACAAGTTGACAAAGGCAGTCCAAGGCATTTTATGTTTATTAGCTCAATATTTGCACAAAAGTTGAGTGTGACAGGAAGGACTGATAACCAACTGCCCAGCCTTCATAAACCATTTGAAATCCTTTCTTTTAGATGTTACAAAGAATGATTAATAAAACACTACCTGAACTCTAGTCAGTTTAGTAAGGAAATAAACTTCACAAGGTGGCACATCATTTGTAGTAATTCACCAGAAGGCACAGGGATTGGGGGTGGACTTGAGGCCATATGTAGAAGAAATGGTTTTGATGAGATTAAAGACTTTCTTCAGGAAGTGAAGAGCCAGTTTCCTGTGGGAACTGTTGTATTTACCCTTCTTTTCCTTAGCCTCTGACATTTTTTGTGCTTAAGGAGATTATGAGAAACCAACAGTTGGTATAGGGAGGGAAACTTATTTCCTGAGATCTAAACCAGGTTGATATTTCTGCCCTTTTTTCCATGATAGAGTAACAGAAAAAGAATGAAAATAAAATTCTCAGAACCATATTATTATTCACGTTCACCTCATTTCTTTTCTCTCCCTAAATGCTATGCCTATGGCAAGGTCGTTGCTGAGAGTATACCAATTGCTGTGTGTCATTCTCAGTCAGGGGATTATTGGCATTTTGAGTGGGACGATTCATTGTTACCAGGGCTGTCCTACACATTGCAAGATGCTCCTTGTCCCTTGACCTCACCCACAGAATGCCAGTAATACTTTCTAATCATTATGGCAAAAATATAAAAACACCCTACAGGGTTTCAAATGTACCCTATGATCCCATTTGGAGAATCACTGAGCTATCTATTGGTGGTAGTAACACCTCCTGTATCCAGTGACTGTCAAAGTTACCTTGGATCTTTAATCATGCCTGTCTTACAGTCCTAGTTTAAGTTTGGTTATTTGCATTAGCTTTCCACCAATGTAATATAAAGGCGTGAAAAAATTCGTTAGCCCTGTTTATTTTCCTTTATAGTATGAAGAATTGCAAAGCAACTGAAATTACTGGTCTGCCACAAATATGAGAGCTACTGTTGGCTATAGATTGTGCAGAGACTGGTAGAACTTTCCTTGGACATTGGAATGACTATAGTTACTGGCAATACAGACATTTTAGAATTGGTACCCTAATATTTACAAGATGGCTTTTTTTTTTAAATATATGTAGAATAATTTTCTTTCAGCAAGAAATGTGAGTACAGTAAGAGTTTTACAACACATCAGTTACTGTTTGCATTCAGGCTAAAATCTCAGGATTGTTTTTTCCTTTGTGTTAGGAGTCAGGGATTGTTACACTTTAAGCCAGAATAGTAAATATAAACATGGTAGGGTCTGGAGCCCACATAGGTCTTTGTGGAATATTCTGGTTTGTTTTTAAACAATCCTGTAAAAATGTAAAAACCATTCTTCGCTTTGGGCCATATCTGTCCCTGCCCATAGTTTGTTTACCCATGACTTAGGTTATTTATTGGGAATCACTTTAAATTATTCTAGGTATGATCTTAAGAATCCATCTAATAGAGAAATAACATAAATCAAGTGCATTTATTTTGAAAAGGGTCTCTTCCTTTCTCACTGAGATGTATTATAGTTGTAGTAAAAACTACAGATTAAAAGCCGATTCCAAATCTTTTTTTCACATGGGTTTATCTGCCGGTACAATTGAAAGCACCAAGAGATAACATGTCTTCTAGTTATAGTAGTTATAGTTCCTAATAACCTTGATCAGGTGTAACCAACACTGCCCAAGTTTAAATAAAACCTCAATTGACACATCTATAAGGAGATTATATGATGTGATCTCTAATGAGCTGTTCAGTCTCCCATATGTGGTATTCTGAAATAGTACTCTCTTATATTTCATGTTTTTGGTCCTCCCAACAACTCCCATGATGTAGGAAGGACAGCCAAAATCTCTAAACATTAATAAGTTAAGTTCAAATTAAGTTACTTGCTCAGGTTTACATTCTCAGAAGTAATGTTGCTAGAACTAAAGCCTCGTGTTTGGGGACTACTGTTCCAGTCATCTGTACCGCTTACCAGAATATCCAGGGAAAATTTATTTTTTTTATCCACTTTCTCTTGCTTTGTAAGTTAGCCTTAGTGTCTTCCTCTTACTTCTTAATACTAGAAATATTTTGTGATTAATACCAGGGGTTAACAGGTACTGTATCACAGCTAGTCATCTCTGTCCTTGTAGTGCAAAAGCAACCATAGAAAATAAACAGGTGTGGCCCTGCTCCTCTAATATTTTATTTACAAAAACTGGTAGTGGGCTGGATTTGGGTTGAGCCGTGGTTTGCCAACCCTGATCTTTGCCATCCCAGGTAAATCCATTAGATTTCTTCTCTCATAAGATTAAATGACTTCAGGTTTCCATGCAAATTATTCAGTATGAGAATATGTCTTTTATTTTTTTTTGTCCTTGTTCTCACCATAGCTTCAGCGGAGTCCCCTGCCGCTACTGTTGACTCGGAAACAATAACACTAAACAGTGGAACACTACAGACATTTGAGATTCTTCCAGTGAGTAACACTGCACAAAATAGATACTGGCCATTTTATGCATTAAAAAAATTACTGGTTTTACACTGTTATCACATGAACAAAAGAAACAGAAATTACCATGAATGGCATTACGTACAACTATGTCCGTGTTTTTGAGACCAGATGGTTAAGAGGACATAAATCAGACTTTCACTTTTATAATTAACTTCAGTCTTTTTTTTCACCTGTATATAAGCCAATAATAATATATGAAAGTGACAGTGCTTAATGAGTAGGGTGCATGCTATGGATTTGTATGGAGTCCTTTTTTTAATTTGCCATTTTAATAATTTTTAAATTTTTTATTGTTTTTAATTTTTAAAGTATTTTTAAGTTGATTTATTTATTTTGAGAGAGAAAGCGTGAGTGGGGGAGGGGCAAAAGGTGAGAGAGAATCCCAAGCAGGATCTGCACTGTCAGCACAGAGCCCGATGTGTAGGGCTCGAACACAAACCGTGAGGTGATGACCTGAGCCAAAGTCGGATGCTCAACCGACTAAGCCATCCTGGTGCCCCTGGGTGGAGTGTTAAACAGACACCATGTGCAACCAAAAAGTTTATACTGGTTATCTGAGAAAAGGTTTGTGGAATGAATTATTTCACAGTACTCTCAGTAAATACCATACTAGCCCCTTTGCAAAAGAATCTTGCAGTTCCTAAAAAGGTAAAACAATATAGTTAACATCTGAGCCACCAATTCTAATCCAATATATATTCATTTCTCTTGAAATGAAAGCGCGTTTGCATAAACTTGAACATGAATGTTTGTATTCATAATAACCAAAAAGTGGAAACAACGCACATGTCCATCCCAATGAATGGGTAATTAAAATGTGCTATAGCCACACAATTATTCAGCAGTAAAAAGGAACAAAGGAAGTACTGATAACATGTCCCTGGGATGAACCTTGAAGACATTTTGCTAAGTGAAATGAGATGCAAAATACTGTAAAGTGTTTGACTCCTGTTTCTTTGAAGTGTCTAAAATAGGCAAATCTGTAGAGACAAAAAAAAAGTAGATTAATGTCTATTACGAGGTTTCCTAAGAGGTTTTGGGGAGCAATGGGCCATGATTGCTAATTTGAATGGGTTTTTCTTTTGGGTGTGATAGAAAAATTTTAAGTCCTTGTTCTTGTTCTGTTTACTAAAATGGGTAATGCCCAAAATTAGCTCATTTTTCAGGAAGAATATAGAAAGTAGATAGTATTTAAATTATGAGGTATTAGTGCAAGAATTTATCCTCTGCACAGCCAAATCTCATGAGGATGGCCAACACAGCAAGAAGTTCTCTTTTAGAACAATTTTGGAACTTTTACTAGCAACTTACTTAACCTAAGCTTCCACTTCTTAATCCTGTGGTCTCCAAAACAGGAATGTGTTTATTACAGGTGGATAACCTTTGCCAACTCCCTTCCTGCCCCTGGCCAAAGTAATAAATACACATACATTTAGAGTATGTGTCCAGGTTTTAACTTGGGTTACGATCAAGTATTTAGAAACTTCTGTCCTAATTTAGTAAAAGAGGATGATAATAGTGCTTCAGCTTCAAAAAACTGATTATGTGAATTTAAGTGTATTAAATAAAATGCATATATGTAATATTTACTGTCCTGCCTGACCACATATAATTTACTAAAGGTTGTATTTATTAAAAGATCAGCTTTTACTTCTATGAAGAGGGAGGAAAGAAATTGAGCCCCCGTGTGCCAGACACTCTTTTGTAATAATTTGTAATGCTTACAACCCCTTCCCTGGGGGTTAGTGATTATGCCCCCTTTGCCAATAAGGAAACCTAGATTCATTGAATTAGTACCCAGAAGAGTTGTTGTGACTCAAGTACACAAGACCACAGGCTCTAGGACTTCAATGTCGCCCTGTCTTTCAAATGCAAATACTTTCCTGTGGGGGTGGGGGAGGAAGGATAAAGCAAACTGAAATTATTCTATAGAAACCTATGGCTGTGAAAGACTTGATGTTGAATAGTTTTGTTAGTTTTATTTAAAAAAAAAATCTCCAGGGGCGCCTGGGTGGCGCAGTCGGTTAAGCGTCCGACTTCAGCCAGGTCACGATCTCGCGGTCTGTGAGTTCGAGCCCCGCGTCGGGCTCTGGGCTGATGGCCCAGAGCCTGGAGCCTGTTTCCGATTCTGTGTCTCCCTCTCTCTCTGCCCCTCCCCCGTTCATGCTCTGTCTCTCTCTGTCCCAAAAATAAATAAACGTTGGAAAAAAAAAAAAATTTTTTTTTTTTTTTTAAATCTCCAGAGATAAACATATTATCAGTTAACCAGCTTTTCAAATAGGAATTTTCTTTTTCATTCAGATTTTGAATTGCTATCCATGTACATTTCTTCTTATACTATGAAAAAAATCTGTCCAGGTCAACTCTGCTGTAGTACCTTTTCAAAAATGTGAAACTTTAAAAAAGTGGGGGGTTGGGGGGGGGCGGAGATTGCCAGTTTTATATGTGGTAAAGGAAGATCGTGCAGGTAGGTTACTGCACTGGACACAGTGGCTTAGGCAGCCATTCTTGGTGCCTTGAAATAAATAGCTAAGACCAGATCATAGACATACATGGGAGTGAAGAGCAGGATCAGGGCTTGACCTGGTCTCTCTGGTAAATCTCCAGAACAACTAAGGACTTGGGACAAGTCAAGAATATTATAGCCTTCATTTTGTTACTTGATGGCACCTTCAGGATGGGGAAATACGTGTGTGGCTAAACTGAAGTCCCTGTTTTGGATGTAAAGCTAGACTTATGAGTGTACATGAGCGTACTTCGTGTTTTTGCACCTGTATTGATCTTCATTTTTTTCCCTTAGTCTTTCCATTTACAGCCCACTGGCACTCCAGGCACATACCTACTTCAAACAAGCTCAAGCCAAGGCCTTCCCCTAACTCTGACGGCTAGTCCCACAGTAACCCTGACAGCTGCTGCTCCTGCTTCTCCTGAACAGATCATTGTCCATGCTCTATCCGTATGTTATCTTCGTTCCTTGATTTTTCTACTTTCTCTAGACTGGCTAAACTGATAAGTGTCACCAAATGGCTTTTATTTTTAATACTATGATGAAACCCATGTGCCTTCAAAAATAATGTATCTCGGGGGGAAAAATCGATTATGTATTCCCTTCAAGTATCCAAGTACTTGTTAGGGAACAGGATCTGTTGACAGAAAGTTTAAGAACCAGAACTAATGTCGTCCATTTATTTAAACAATGTTTCCTACCACCGTTGCCTTGGGAACAAGGTTTTACACCATCACTCTGCCTTCATTGGGATATAACCCTCATCCCATGTCTGTCCTTACAGGAGATTGACAGGGGTTTTAGAAAAATAGTGTTAAGAATTCAACCATTCCAGAGGGGAGAGGGGAGGGGTGGGGAAGGGACAGTAGGGTACCATCTGTAGATGGTATTTTTTGTCTGTAACACGAGTCTGGTAGGTCTTTTTTCACTTTACCATTGTTTTTCTTTAACATTTTATAGCCAGAACATTTGTTGAACACAAGTGACAATGTCACAGTACAGTGTCACACACCAAGAGTCATCATCCAGACTGTTGCCACAGAGGACATCACTTCTTCCATGTCCCAAGCAGAACTGACTGTAGATAGTGATATTCACTCATCTGATTTTCCTGAGCCTCCAGATGCCCTAGAAGCAGACACTTTCCCTGATGAAATTCATCAGCCTAAGATAACTGTAGAGCCATCATTTAATGATGCTCATGTATCCAAATTCAGTAACCAAAATAGCACAGAACTGATGGATAGTGTTATGGTCAGAACAGAAGAAATCTCTGACACCGACCTTAAACAAGAGGAGTCGTCTTCTCCTTTAGCCCGTGCTTACGTTACTGAGGTAAGTTGCAGCCAGGGAAACAGGCTCTGGGTTCTTGCCTTGAGCCTCAAACCTGCAGTTTTTAAAGAGCCTAAAAATGATCTGGGGGAAGTAAAGGTCATACATCCTCCAATACCTTCCTTTTTTCTCTAGACACAAAATCAAGTGCAAACCCCTACCTGTGACCTCACAAGTATCCGTCAGACAGCAGCATTGCTCTTAGCACTGTGCTTCACTAAAACCTTTCCCCCCTATCCTTCCAGTAGACTGAGAATTGTTTGTTGAAAACCTATGGAATCATTTTCAGGAGGGTGGTTAATAATAGGTTCTGGTGGTTCAGCTTAACCACCTTACTGACCCCAGTGTAACAGCATTTGTTTCTTCTACATTCAGGGAACCTGTAACTGAATTGCTTCTTTTAGGTTCTGTTTTGTCAGTATTTAAGAGAGTAGGGGGTCATTACTTTTGCCCATTTTAAGGCTTCATTTTTCTTTGCTTTATAAAATATGGGACAGTGTTTGAATTTAAGTCCTTTTAAACCTAAATGTGTTAGGGATCTTAAAACTGACAAAGAAGTCAGAATCTGATTTTTTTGAATTGCTATTGCTTAGGACCTCGAGTCTCCTACCATAGAAGAACAAGTTGATCAGACAACCATTGACGATGAAACAATACTTATTGTTCCTTCACCACATGGCTTTATCCAGGCATCTGACGTTATCGATACCGAATCAGTCTTGCCTTTGACGACGCTAACAGGTACTATAATAGAACTGCATCCTGTGCCTGCTACATCTTAAGGGGAAAGTCAGGCTCCTTAGTTCTGTTGTTTTAGTCTTGATCCAACAGTAGTTCATCATCTTGTTTAACTTTGCACTTTGGTAGAGTACTTACTCTAACTTCTTGACCTGGTTTAGAGTACATACACTTAAAACTTAACTTCTTACAGATCCAATACTCCAACATCATCGAGAAGAATCAAATATCATTGGATCATCTTTGGGCAGTCCTGTTTCAGAAGACTCAAAGGATGTTGAAGATTTGGTCAACTGTCATTAGGTAATTCTTAAAAGACAGGTACCTCAGGCAAAGAAGCCACACTGTTAATTACATCTCCAAAGAAATAGGAGCAACTCCCAAGAGGCTGAATTTACCATTCCTATGGCTTTTAAATAGCTACAGTGCTGAAGCCACATACAGTGTTGCTGCTATGACTTTTTACCTCCTTTAAATGGATCATCTGAGGTCTAGTCTTATGACAGTGTGACGGTGACTCGAGTATGGAGGACTTAACTGCATAGATCCCTGTGATTAGTGTTAATTGACAGCAGGGAATTTCATTCAGCTACTGAAAAAAAGTTTACAATCACCAAAGCTTAACTACTCTGTTTTAAAAGCAGTGATATTCATCTCTGAAGATCAGACATGGCTCTATCCATTCTCAAGCAGGCCTTTTCATATTTCAGAGAAGTCCTGTCAACATGGTGTGGAGCTTATCAGCGACCCTCAAAAATGTTAAGTATCCTTAGTCTGAAAGTTAACCAGCATACACACACACACACAGAGACCTAAGAGACGATTGTGTGGCGGTTGCTTTTGGTTTACCCATTGCTGGCAGTGGGAGCTGATTTAGGCTGGGTACACAGAAAAGCATTAAAAGAATTAAAATTCACTACAGGTTTTTTACTACTTTTAAAGGGAATATGGAAGAGAGTAGCAACACAGCTCACCAGAAGCTAAGCAGACTTTTCACCCCTTCGGAACCCCCCGTTGTTGGTTTACAAAGTTAGCACTTTGAAGTAAAATTAAACTAAATGACAAAGGAAGGAAAGTTGCCTACCCCATACCAGGCGTGTTTCTTACACGTTTTGCTATACAGATGACCCAGGAAATAGTTGAGGAAGGTACTGCAGTCTGCCCTTCACTTTAGTGCATTAGCTGGTGGGGTGCCACTTAACTTCTCCCTCTCAGGCAGTTTAAAAACACAAAATTTGCTTCTGTTAGCAAAGGAAAGAAATCAAGAGTCATTCCTGTATTAGAGAAGGTTAAACCAAAATTAGCCTCTAGGATTTTAATGAACATGACCCCAATAGAAAAGCCACACACACACACACACAAAAACAAACAAAAAAAAAAACTTGTATAAATTATTTTATTTATTACTGTAATTAGATCTTCACAATCAAAGTTGTCTTTTCACCGTCTGTGTTTTGTTAATGTGAAATTTAATTGTAGTTATAAGCAAAAGTTGGTTGCCTAGGGAACAATTGTATATTCAGTTTAACAGAAATAAAAGAATATTTGTCTTAAAATGCAAGATTGTCACATAGCCTTTCGCCATGCACCTACATTATAAAAAATTTTAATTTCAAAAGTGAAAATTGCTTGTGCTGTTTGAGCTTTAAGGTTTGGAATGTTTCAGTGCAACATCAGCTCCTTAAAGAAAAAAGCAAAGCAATCTAGGATACGTCTCCCCTGCAAGAGGGAATTTTAGATTTACAATTAACATGAAAATCATGTATCAGACTTGCACAGGAGATTCTTCAGCACACCTGACCCAGCTCTTACAGTCCAAGTGTACAGCTTCGCAGAGACCTGATAAGTTTCTCCTTGGCAGCCTCACTTCCCCACGTCATGGAAGTACAGGTTTGCACATATACATAACATGATGAGTGAAAATAAGATGTAGTAAATTAGATTTCTAAATTTCGGTTCTAGGTCTCCTTGTCGATACCAGTAGATCTAAAAAGAAAAGAAGCATTAAATCAAAGTTTAATTAACAGTCACTGGTCCTGGCATTAAAAAATTTTAATTCAACTAATCTTTTTTTCCACTGTGACAGATTTCATCCATATAAACTTTTCTCCCTCAATGAGGCCCTCTTTTAGTCTACATTCCTAAAACTAATGCAGCCAAAATGTAATTTTGTTTCCCTTTTTTCCAGTAGTACCGAGTGTCCACACCCAAGATTATGCTTATTCCTGCTTTCTCACCTTTGGTAATGTTCAAACCGATAGTCATCCAGTTACTGACCAGCTATCCAAGAATTTGTACCTTGTAGATCTGTTTTAATTCTATGTGAGTAAGTAAGAAGTACAGCTCTCTTTAGGTACTGGGAAGGAGGGTAACTTTTAAATTCACAGAGCAGAGTCAGATTGCCAATACAAAATAAGAGCTTTTATACCAAACTAGACCCTGTGTGTCATTCCGGGGCATTAGGCCGGGAGGGTGGGGAGCATCTCTGGTAGCTTTGTTCCATGTTCCAAAGGCTCTGGAAGGGCGTGGGCCAAGTCTCCCTCAGATCATACGAGTCGAGCAAACAAAGTCAATTAGATAAACACATCACTATGAAGATATAAGCCCCATGTGAATCAAAACTATTGTTTTTAAGGGTGTCATTTATAGTATTGGTTCTACCTCTTCTCAAAGGAAATGAAACAAGCCAACTAATGAATGACTAAGCCCCTGTCCAATATCCAAGTGAGGACCTATCACCATCTTTGTTCCTTTATGTAAAGACAAGCATCTTTATGGTAAAATTGTACATTCTTGTGATAAGGATACAACTGTAGCTTAAGATTTCCCAGGAGATTCTAGGGTTAATTACTTTCATTTGGGTAGATATGCACAGAGATTAAAATAGACTAATTTTGTAATTATCAGAAATAAATCCAGAGTGCTATGTATCTCTTCCCTTAAGAGCAGTACTGGCATTTGCCAAAGCCTGTTGGACCCTGTATGTTGTAGCCCTTGAAGGAAGATGAATTAAGTAAGTTAAACTTAAACCTTAAGTTTTGGCCACCCAAGTCTTAACTCTTTTTTTTTTTTTCCCCCTTCCTCCTGTTGGGGTTTTTTGTTTTTCACTTTCAAAGGAAAAGAGTTTTCCTTTAGATAGGAACTTAACTTTGAGATTTAAGGGAAAAGGAAACTGATTCCAAAGATAAATAAAATATCTAAAATTAGTAAATACTGAGAATTCTTAACATTCTTGGTGGGGCCAGGACTAGGGGGTAACTAGACACACCCCTTCTTATAGATCTAAGGCTGGGAATCTGTCCTAGGTAGGCACTGCAGCAGTCTGCCCTCAAGGGTTGTCAGTAGTACTCACAAGTATGCAGGCAGTAATACTACTCAAAGAGATGCAGACAGCAAAAAATATATTCAGCGGTTTTGGAGGTAGTTGAGGGAAAACAAAAGCACTGATCAGCGTTACCTGTATGAAGAGAAACTGTGTCAGGCCTTAGGAGTAATTCCAATAGTAGGCTAGACTGGAGTTTAAGCAATGTCCTATTATATAGTATCTACCACCAGGTATGTTAATAGTAAAGTATTTGTAAATCTGTTCCAGTGTCTTACTTCTCTTAGCACTTCCTCATCCTCTTTCATCAAAGGAGACAAAACATCACAGCTCAGAAAACTAGCGAAGCTCCAAAAAACCCTCTTAACAAAAAGATGAGAAAGCATTTAAACCTCATTCCAGGATTAAGGATTACATTGGAAAAAGTTCAACCTTTGTTATGTTATTTTGAATACTTCAACAAAAATGAAAACCAAAACAGTTTTTGCTGAACATTCTGGAGAATACTCAGGTTTCTAATACACTGGAGTTCTATTTCTACCATAGATAAAACATGATACCCATTCTTTTTATTAAGAAGTCAATGAAACAAACTTCACTAAAATTCGTAGACTTAATAAAAATGTGGCATCTTTAGACCACAGAAAATATAGCTTGTCTTTATTTTACAGTGATAACACCAAGCTATACTACACAGGAGGCCGAAATGTTACATGACCAAATAATCTTTTTAAACCAAAGGATAATGAATGTGCTTTAGTAATAAATTAAGGTAGTAGAAGGGGGCAGTTGTGGGTTATGTACAACGTTCCTAGACAAGGCAAACTCAGAAAATCGAGTTATTTGCTGTGTGCTATTTCATATACTCAACTGAAGGTTGAAATCAATTTAGCTCCTCCTGTTACCAACTGCAGTTTTATTCAAGCAGTAATGAAACTGAAAGCATTAATTTAACTATGACTTCAGTACTTCACATGGTCATGTACTGGCCCCTTTTAAGTTTTTTGTTTTTTGGGTTTGAGTGTTAACCACAATACTCAAGTTTTCAATAACATTGGTTCAGAGCCTGCAGAAGACACAAAATCAAGGTACTTACTAGAATCAATAAGGATGTTAAGCTGCCAACAACTAAATTGATGATTCGATCCTGAAACAGAAAATAATTGTTTAGCCCTGTGATGGATCCACTTTCAGAAAGGTACAATGCTAGCCACTGGGGTGACTTAGAATTAAGACACCAAGGTCCTCCTGCCTCTCTCTGAGCTTGACACATACGTACAAGTGCCAGAAAGGCAAAGTGTACTGAGCCACCAGAGTGGAAAAGGTGCTTTAGGAAGACAGGGACTAGTCGGAAAAAGGTTCTTGGGGCGCCTGGGAGGCTCAGCTGGGCATCCGACTTCCGCTCAGGTCATGATCTCACAGTTCATGAGGTCGAGACCTATATGAGGCTCTGTACTGACAGCGTGGAGCCAGGAGCCTGCTCTGGATTCTGTGTGTCCCTCTCTCTCTGCCCCTCCCCGGCTCATATTCTGTCTCCCTCTGAAAGATAAGTAAATATTTAAAATAAAAAAAAAGAAAGAAATGGTTCCTTGAAAGGACAGGCCATTTTTACACTACATACAGTCTTCTGAAAGCTGGGAAGGACTGAATGGGCAAGGGATGCTTATCAATACTCCAACGCACGCTGGGAACAGTCTGAACAGAAGCCAAGGGACGGGAGCCACTAGGATGGCCAGCCCAGAGCCGTGGTGAAGAGATCAGAACCAGACTGCAGGTGATGTTGAGTGCCGTGAGTTTGGACCTACTTGCGATACTGCTTACATGTCCTTCTCTAATGTCATTTACAAGGAGATGCTTCTGCTAGCAGAGGTCACACCATGCCAGGGCTGGAGGCAATCTCAGACCATCTAGTCCAGTGCTTTTCCAACTTACTTAGTAGCAAAAACCTTCAATACGTAACACAAGTAGAATCATATGGCTGAATTTGCAGCCTGGGGTCCTACCCATTGAGCCTTCTCTTCATTCCTATGCCCACCCAAACAATTCCACAGGATGGTTTGAAATTTTTCTAGGGTACCTGGGTGGCTCAGTTGGTTGAGCATCTGACTTCGGCTCAGGTCATGATCTCATGAGCCCCATCAGGCTCTGTGCTAACAGCTCAGAGCCTGGAGCCTGCTTCGGATTCTGTGTGTGTGTCTCTGTCTCTCTCTCTGCCCCTCCCCCACTTGTGCCGTCTCTCTCAAAAATAAAAAACCAACATTAAAAAAAAATTTTTTTTTAATTTCTCCTGTAATTCAATCCTCATTTTATAAGTTAATATAAATTTAGGTCCACTGAGTGTGGTTAAATTATTTGCATAAAGTCATACAGCAAGTAAAAAGCCACTTTTAACATGTTTCCCAAATCAAGATCACTGGCTAAATAAAGTTTCAGCTGTAGGGACTAAAAAGTTCAAATATTTTATACATATATAAAACTAGTGTATATATAATAATATTAGTAATATATAATACATGTATAATATATGGATTTACAGAACAAAGTCCTAAGAGTTTAAGACCTGATTAAGAAACACTATTTTCAGGCAGCGAGAATACCAAGTAGTCTTATTTCTGAGAAGTCAAAACTGAGCAATCAGTGGTGTTAATGAGTGTTCTGGTAACATCTGAGCAAGGACCAGCGGAATATGGACCAGGAGCAGCCAGAAAACAAAAGCTCACAGATGGAAGGGCACAGGATCAAGCACAGAGAAGCAACTGAATTCAGAGCCATTTTCAAGTTGTCTGCATTTAAAGATAAGAATCCAAAGTTAAGAGGCAGGCAAAGCTAGGAGGGAAAAGTGAAGGAAAGCCAAGCATTAAACTGGGTGTGTTTGATCTAATCAAGGACAGACCACTCTGCAGACCAAGGCCACTGCAATTCACACACTGTGGAGGACAAAGGTAACAACTGACCACACCCTCACTTCTCATCCCATAGCTAGAGAAGCCTGCCCAGCAACAACCATCTGTGAGCGAAGAGACCCAGGGGAAAATTACGATCACTAATCACTTCTTTCCACATGCAAGACGTGTGTGTGTGTGTGTGTGTGTGTGTGTGTGTGTGTGTGTGTGTGTGTCTTAACCTAAGATGTAGAGACCCTCTATTAATGGGAGCCCCATTGTCTTTACCTTGGGAAAAAGGTTCAACTTAACTCCTGTCTGTACTGAGAATATCTGCTCTGAGTTCCAAGGATTTGC